ATACTTTTTTTGCAGAAAAAGTGAACGTGCCGCTTGCGTAGTCGAAACTCCACGTGCAATAAGGGTACATATACATGATACGGACGGCATGTCAGAGACTGACGAAAAATCAACACAGAAATGCCACGACTGACACCGCGAGCGGGCCCTGGGTATGTACAGATAGGGGACATCCATGCCCACATTGCTGGAAGTTTTGGTCGCTCCCGTGTTGCTGTAGCAAACCTAATGTAACGTTACATACAGACCGGGCAGACATCAGACAGGCCAAGAACAGGCCGACCCAGGGTAACTACGCCCAATGAAGACCGGTACTTAAGTACTTTGAAGAATGATAATGCACAAAATGTATGATTTTAACGATGTGTACATTCACACTAGTAATCTAGAGCAGTTGCGATCCTAAGCATCTACTGATAATTATATTTAGTTCTTGTTTATGGGTAAATAAGGCGCCGCAATTCGCTGTGCCAAGTTGCGTCCCTTTGGGCACGCCAGAAATCTATGATTGTGTGTTCGAATCCCGGTTCTCCCCGATTATGTTTCTAGGTTTGTCAGCACCATATCTTCGTCACTTCGGGCTTTCCTCCCACACTGACAGGCTGCGATTTGAAGGTTGTATGCTTGAGTTCATGTAGAACGCCCTACTTGGTACTGACGTAACACATGATGCAGAACCTAACATACCCTTCATCACACTGAACGAAAAAGCAGCAATCATACTTTAGCCATATATATTCCAGCAACATCATTGCTGTAAGTACAAATAAAATAAATACGCTGTTCACAAAAAAACACATCTTAAACTCACTTTGAGCTATGTTTGCGGGGGGCGGTCGGGTAGCCTAGTGGTTAAAGCGTTCGCTCGTCACGCTGAAGACCCGGGTTCGATTCCCGACATGGGTACAATGCCGTGATATTGCTGGAATATTGCTAAAAAAAGCGGCGTAAAACCATACTCACTCACTCATTCACTCACTATGTATGCGGATAGTCCTATATTCGATATACCCATATATCGCGGTGGGTAGACATATATCTTCATAGCGGATTTAAATGCATCAATTGCGGGTCCAAATCTTTGTATTCATACTACACTTCGTATCATTTCCACACAAAACAATTGACCACTCAATCTTGAGAATTATTACAGAAGCCAGAGGGCACTTCTTCCTAAGACATGTTAGAGAAGACAGGGTCACATCATTTTGAAGAGATGTAAACAGGTAGGGATCACTTCATCTGAGAACACTGAGAAATGTTAGAGAAGACGGGGACACTTCATCCTGAGAAATGTCAGAGAAGACGGGGGGACACTTCATCCTGAGAACTGTCAGAGAAGACGGAGACACTTCATCCTGAGAAATGTTAGAGAAGACGGGGACAATTCGTCCTGAGAAATGTCAGAGATGACGGGGACACTTCATCCTGAGAAATGTTAGAGAAGACGGGGACAATTCGTCCTGAGAAATGTTATAGAAGACGGGAACACTTCATCCTGAGAAATGTCAGAGAAGACGGGGACAATTCGTCCTGAGAAATGTTAGAGATGACGGGGACAATTCATCCTGAGAAATATTAGAGAAGACGGGGACACTTCATCCTGAGAAATGTTAGAGAAGACGGGGTCATTTTATCCTGAGAAATGTTCGAGAAGAACTGAACACTTCGAAGCGGCGTGAGCCAAGCGAATACAATGGAACTATTCAGTGGTAATCCTTGAAAAATTAACTAATGAGAGAAAATCTCATTTGACACCAAGGTGATGAGATTGTTCTAAGCATTATGGGACATTACAAATATTTAATGAGATTTGTGACAATTTTCATCAGGATTTGAACTTGTTTTCTCATCATATGAAGTTGACTTGTGACTAAATTAATAAAACAATATACAAACAAAAGTGTGCTTTGCTTTCCATATTTGTTTTATTTGGGCACAGACCTTGTAATTAACTTTGACTGGCACAGAACTTGTTCATTAACTTTGACTTTGGAACAGAAGTTCAACATAATTTTCTGTAAATACAGAGTTTAGTCCTTGGGACTTAAACTAACTCATAACGAATCCCCTCAACATCTCTCCAATCCTGCGAGGCAGCCAGAATGCTGAACTCGCCCTGATCATGACCATGAATCAGGACTCTCATCAACTGGTCACACTGCCCAGAAGACAATCTGCCCCTCACATGGTTCGCATTGAGCTGAGAAAGTCTGATGTTAGAGCTGGAGTTCGTTTTGTCCTTATGTACAGGAAGTGCAGACAACAGCTCCATTCGGAACTTTTCCGTGTGACTTTAATTGTCTATTATTTCTTCGCAACCTTACGATGCCGAATCGGTCAGGTGGACTGGTGCCGTGTCATTCGTCACCACTCGCCCCGTAACCTGCGAGAAGACTATTCGTATTCGTGACCAACTCGTGTTATTCCAGGACAAGCCGAATGCAGGTTACGGAAAGGGGCGAGTGGTGGCGAATGGACTATTCGGCTTGTCCCGGAATAAGACGAGTTGGTGACGCATGGTGCCTGGTGAGTTTAGACTGGTTTGTCTGTCCAAGAGCGCTTGGAGCGAAGGACAGCGAACCAGTCTACTTCTGAGTTCTGTGGAAACATTTCGCTATTCGGGACATAGAAGGAAACGTTATGCCGAAATGTGGTCACTTTACTGATTTATGGTCTCTGGTAGTATCTACCACATGCAGTTCTATTGTCAAAAATAAACAACCTTTCTGGATCAAAACCAAAATAATTCGTAAGGAAAATATCCTCTGGGTTCACCTCCGATGCGCCCGTAAAATCACTTTATATCAACCCGCCTTCTACCAGATTTATTAATTAAAGTCCGGTGGCAGAAGTATCAGAGCGCGTGCTGCAACGAGAACTAATCTTATCCTAAATTGATAATTTGTTCTTTGGCAATTCCATAAAATGACAATACAGACGGTGAAATTATCATATCGATGTTTGGTCTTTTAGAAAATGAAAGACTTAGTTTCCAATCTTACCTCTTGACAGATGTCATGAAAGGTGATGTGAGGTGAAATTGGGTGTAACGTCGCGTCCAAGGTTTTTGCACTTATATAACGACGTGCATGCACGTGTGTGTGTGTGGCTGCTTGTACTAGTCCGGACTGGTGCCGATTTATAGTGCTAGCCCGCTGAGATATCATGCCGCAGTTTAACATGAATACCCCACTCAGACACAGTATACTGACTCCGAACCGACCAGTCCTTGTTTTAGCCCCTTCATGCCGAGCGCCAGACAGGGTAACAACAAGTACCAACTTTTAACGTCTTTTGGTATGACGCGGCCGAAGATCGAACCCCGGACCTTCCGCTCTCTGGGCGGACTCTCTGACTCTAGACCACGGTGGCGGTTGATCTCATATGGAATTTGGAATAGGGTGGATTCCACACATTCATTTGCAAGCAATTAGTATGGTAATAATAATTTTCGAAATAATAATTTTGATATTAAATCAAAACCAAACATATGTATTATACGCTGGGCAGAAGTTGCATTACAAAAAAACATAATTTGTTTTATTGCAGCTTTTGCGACTTAAGTATATTCCAACAAAGGTATGAAGAACTGTCCAACCCGTTTCTAAACCAGTTTGCCTACTCTTCTTCACACATTATAAATAATAAGCCACACGTGTATGTATTTTATTTCTGTCTCGTAATAAATACAAAAAAAACATTTCGTTATTCTTGTCGTTACGGATACCAATTAAAACAAATGTACATAAATGCAATTTTAATATAGAAACAAACAATTGACATGGTTGGTATATAAACAAGGAACTGCTAGATATCTATCTCTGACTGTTAAATTTGCGTTTGCATTAGAAATTAATAGCCCCCACATCATATATTTCCAACACAAATAACAGCTATGTTGCTTTGTAGGTTCATTGTAAAATATGTTTCCAAATGTGAAAAATTGTTCTAGATAATTCAGTTACATTTAAAAATTATAAAAATTAATTTCCTTGTTCAACAATCCACATCAGTGCGGCGAGGGTGGAGCTGACATGTTGCTTATTCGACAGGAACGTTTGTTGTTTCAAAATGAAATTTGGAAACACAGATTTCATGTCACTGGAGACACCTAAATGCTACATACAATGCACAATAAATGTAAATATTGTCAATACAAATTTCACATTATGTAGTCTAAATAATACATATCCCAATCCATTAATGACAATACTCTTAGATTGTTTTTTTAGCATTCCACGTTCGCTGGGCCCCCAGCTGCCTATGATTCATATGCGAGGCAACTTAAATGGATCAGATTGATAGCGTATCGTTACCTAAATGGCGTGCTCATTATATCAATCACTGGTTTGGCTGGCCCAGATTTGATTATTTACAGGCCACCATCGATCATGTGTCTTGAGCTTGAATTTTACTGAATGTCTCGTAAATCAACAAGCAAGCAAATGCATGTATGATTTTGTAAATCGTCCTTTCAACCAGTGCATCAAAATATGCAAAATAAATATAATGCTAAGGACAGATAAATTCTGTATCGAGCCCGCACAGAGAGGAAATATATTTCTGCTTCAAATGTATGAATGGGACATCAGCTAGAAAAAAAAAACAACTAACAATTTCAAGTGATGATCTTTCAGTCTGTATATTACCAATATATCAGCTTCTCTTCTAACAACGTTAGCCTGAAAAAAACTATGGTTTTAGACTTTAATCATGCACTTTCGTTAAGAGTGTAAATGCCCATATATTTAGGCTTATGTGCTATAAACTCGGCACATAAAATGTACCATAGAATACTGCGCTAGTTTCTTTGGTTCTTCTTTTTCATGTTATAAATGTAGCGCAAAGCCAATTTTATTGAGATACGGAGCATTCGAAGCTTCTATCTGATAGATCTGTACCAGCCTGTAATATCAGTTAGGATTTACTCGGCTCTGAGAGATGACGTTTTGCGAGATTGGGCGTCACAGCACGAACAACCAATCAGAATAATTCCTCACCGTCGCTGCGACCCTGTCACATACCGAAATGTTTTGATTTCGCATGGTTAGCAGGGAGACAGATATCACCGAGTGTGTGTCATGATTTGATTATACTCACCATCTAAATTGCCAATCAAGCTCGGGATAAATCATTTTGCGTGCTGAGACTTTCAAAGAACAAGCAAGATGCCGGTGAGTGTAATTGCCTCGAATGACCTGAGTCACTAAGCGTAAAAATGTAAATTTTAGGCCTAGGCCTGTTTGACATATCTGTTTTTGCCATTTATTTATTCTGTGAAAAGATGTTAAGTCCGTCATCAAGTTTGGACATTTCCGAGGAATTCATTGTACATGTCAATCGTTTGCAAGTGTTGACCAAATTGTATATCATGACGTAATGTGATCCTAATGTATTTTGTTTTAATTTAAATATTATAATGAAGGCAACATGTTTTTTACTTGTTGAATTAAGTCACATAGAGATTCTAGCCGTCAGTCACGACTCACGAACTATACTTTTATTAATATTTTGTATTCTTCATTTCCTGATATGCAAATATGTATACTTTCTCAGGTTATCTGTAACTAACCCGTCTGGAGTATAATCTAGAGGTATATTCAGCTCTTTGATTTCACTTGCATCTCTGATCTTAGTCACAGCACGCTTTGATTTGCCGATTTTAACCTTTGGCTTTGGAAACGGGGAATCCTTTTGTATTCTTAGCTGCAGAGTTCATTCCAGGCTATGTCATTGCACCATTCCCACTGTTTAGTTTTATCCCATTTTGAATATGACGTAAATCTAATTGTTGGGGTAGTTCACTAGTTTACATATCAATATCAATTAGTATTGGTGACCTCACACTCAGCCGCAGTGATGACATACCATTACAGTACCAGCATAACACCACTGCCAAGAGCTAATTTGCATATCACTTGACCAGACTTTTAATCTGGGCTGATACAAATATTCCAGTGGTATTTACAGATCATTTTGCATAATTATAAAGATATACAACCACAACTTGGACACCAAAGTATGACTATATATGACGAATCGTCACATCTCGTTGGCCTGTGGAAGAGGTACTAGTTGGACGACAAGAAACGCTGGGTAGGAGAGTGTCATGACCTCTCAGAATGAACAATATTTTAGAGACCATGAACCAAGATTTGAAATTAGCAGTAGCCCGCTAGCCCGGGGCTAGTACAAATTCCTGTGGGCGAGTAGAATATGTCCAATTTTCCCTATTGTTTTAAGGGCATTTTATCTTTACCTGGGCTAGTAAAACATTTCAGTTAAGTTATAACTCTGTGAACCCACAACCGAACGTCTAGAATGAGCTCTGTTTAGGTTAAGTTTGATGTGGGGTCGGATGTTCTATACCTGAAGCACCACTATCACGCACTGCACAGATTGCTCTACAATCAACTTTTCAGCTTTTGTATCCCTCGCCTTGATATGGCTGGAATATTGCTGAAACCCTCAATAAAGATAACTCGCTAATGAGCTTTTCACTCAGCAATGTTCAGTCATTCACATTCATGTTCATCATGAGACAACGTATTGAACGTATTAACAAAATTGCAGTTACTATTACTAACCATAGACCAAATGCACAGCAACACATACCCCAGTGTCGCTTGCTTATGAGATGCCTGTTCACTTAACATGCTTAAGTGGCAATTGCAAGCAAGAGTTGCAGTTGGAACCATGCACAGAGTGACAGGTACTGCAGGGATATAAATTAGCTCTAACCCCCTCGCCAGGACCATTTTTTAAAATGTTAATGGTATCCTGAGGTCTGTTAGAAGTTTAAACACTTTTGTGTGGTATTGCTTTTTGTTTAATATCAATATTCTGGACAGATTTTCTTGATTAATTTCTATCCCTGCGGTAGAAATATATACTTCACTAACTAACACAATACACCATATTCACATGAATTCAGTTCTAGGTCAATATATATATATATACTACTCAACTCCTTTAAGGATACTGTGCTAGTTAACACGCTTATGGAAATAGGGAGACAACAATATACATGTATGTAAATATTTACTTTTAACATATATAAATGTTGTCTTTTGTTTATTGATTCTTGACATGAAGCTTAACATGCGACAGGTCCGGCCCAAATCACATCCTATTCGTATGACAGTATCTCCAGACAACCAGTCAGATATAGGCCCCATCTGGACACCCAGAATCCCTTTCAAATGTTGAGTAGTATATATAGAAGCAGTCCAAACTGATAGTAGCATGTCATGGGGGTATTGCTTCAGAGCCAAGGTAGTCAAGGTATTGGTAGTAGTTACCCTGTCACCTAGTTACCATGGTTACAAGAAAACATTGGAAAACAACACTGATTCAATGTCAATATTTTTAGCAATGACACATTAACCATGTTATTGTAAGACTGGTTGTTACATAGCTCAGTTGCCAATACATTCCATTTATATTTCATGTCAGAACTTCTCACATATTTATGAATTACCTTCACTGATTTAGGTATTTGCATATATATTTTGAGTACAAATGTTTTTACCATAAAGCTTTCTTTCTTACCCTTCTTTCTGTTTTGCAAAGTCTGTGAGTATCAACATGATTTTGAGCAATTATATTTTGATAAGTCTTTGTGCATTTACCATGTTTACCAACTGATTTCAATGATCACTATTATTATATTTGTGTAAAAGAGTATATTTCTTTCTACTTTCTCTTAACATGTTGTGTTAGTTTTGTTATAATATGTTCATGGTCGCTATGATCAGCTGATGATAGATCAGATTTACTTGTCATTAACATGATGCATCATCATGTGAACATGGTGAACATGGTGAAAAACATTAAATTATAAAAATTGTTTGTTTCAGGAAAACAAAACAAAAAGCATGAAAGAAACGGATAATGTGCGGGTTGCGGTCAGGTGTCGTCCCCTCAATGAGAAGGAAATCTCTACAGGATGTAAAACTATGGTTAAGGTAAGAATGCTTGAACCTCCGAGAATTAGTTTAGGGTCTTTCATTATTGTCAGTGAAGCAAGTTTAGTGCTGTTTATGGGTGGGACAATTCACTGCTGTGTCATCATACACCAGGTTTCAATACATGTCTTAGGTTGACTTACTGATTCGAAACAATTTATGACGTTATGAGTACGCCTAAAAGAATTACCGTATTCGACATAATAAGCGCCCAGGGCGCTCTCAAAATTAGAAATAGGGGGCTCTTATTAGAATATTATTTTGGAGTTGAAAGATAAATTTCGTGTGTTATGCTGACAGCCTGAAATGTTTATGTACGACAGATATATTTTTCCAGAATTTAATTGCCAATAATTAAGGGTGCACATAACACACGAGTGCGTATTATACGCAAATAGGGGAAGGAAGCGGTGCGTATTATATGCGAATAGGGGTCGGAAGGGGTGCTAATTGGGATTGTTCACTAGCCAATATATTAGCAAATCTCGACGTGGGCGCTTATTAGAGCGGGGCGCTTATTATATCAAATACGGTATCGTATATTGAGGACTACAGATGTGCACCCCAGTACCTTTCTGCTTGCTGAAAGATACCCGAACTTAAATCAGAATACACAGATTATATATTGGCAGATTTGGCATGAAGGATCTGTCCATTCGACAATGCTGGACCACTGTCCAGAAGTTCTAAACTACACAGCTGGTAAATTCTTAAATATACTCGTCCTGGCTCCAGTGCTTTCCTGGCTTTCCTCCCACATTAAGCTGACATGCCGCGCTATAACTGGAATACTGTTAAAAGCGGCGTTAAACCCAACTCACTCACTCACTCAGTATACAGAAAGGTACATGGGTTGATTAACTTGATATCATTGTACCCCATAGGGATGCTGGGTTAGAATTCGTCACCAGCAAACTATGCTGGTCCTATGTGGAGACTTGATGGATCAGACTCGGTGACTTGGTTATCTGATAGTGTGTCATGGTACGCTGATGGCGTGGATCGTTGCCCAAATGTCAAGCATTTTATTTGTCTGGTCCAAACTCACTTACTAACAGACCGCTGTCATATAGCTAGATTATTGCAGTGCGACGTTAAACAACAAACAAACATATCAGTAATACTCAATATCATGTGTGTGACAACGATTCCTTCCCCCAGTGTCCAACCCAGGCCGCGCGATTCATGCTAAAAAAATCAAATCGCCCCTCATAAAAAATCAAAGCGCGATCTGTCGTGCACAGTAATTTCTTGTACAGTCACTTACTTTATCAGCTGTTTATCCCTACCTTTAGATTCAATACTCACTAAATTTTTAATCAATTAACGAAGAAAGACAGTTGACAGCAAACATTGTAAACAACTGTCGAAGACCGATCGATAACAACTGGAAGTTCGAACACGAGTGACGTCCCTTGGGTTGCTGAATAAACTATCGATAGGATTTGCATAGGAAACGAAATTTGATTTACTTAAGTAGAAAACGTATCAAAACTTTGATCAAAATTATGTTGTATTTTGTTGTTTAGTAATCAAAAACCTTTGACAAGATGTTAAAGACAATAAATATTCTATCTTGAATAGTTCTGAAAATATTTTTGAGCATTTGAGTTCGTTTTAGTTTCATTTCTGAAATCACACTATGAATCGCCGACTGTCATAGCAGACGATCTTTTGAATAGTGAATGACCATGTCGCGCAAAAACAAAAGAATTACAGACTTTTTTAATCAAAATAGAAAAAATCACAAAGCATTGTTATTCATTTCAGTTCTTTATTCTGATCTGTTACACTTTTATATGATGATGCTCCAGTACATAATACAAAATACGACATTTTTGAAGAAAGCAATTATCTCCCCTATTTTTTCAAAATCCCTCCTATTTTCTACATGATGGGGGGACAAGTCCCCCCTTGATTTTCAGTTCTGGGTTGGACACTGCTTCCCCATGTTCAATGCTACATCAACAGCATTGTGGGGTAGTCTATTGGTTAAAATGATCACCCGTCATGTCGAAGGCCCGGGTTCGATTCCCCACATGGGTACAATGTGTGAAGCCTGTTTCTGGTGTCCCCTGATACTGCTGGAGTATTGCTTGAAGCTGTGTAAAATCACACTCATTCTTTCACTTAATCATGTTAATTCAAGTACCTCAAGGATTCCAGAACATCCCTTAATTTTAAACACTAGTAATCATTTATCATTTTAATATAATATCTGCCCTGATTCCAACAATAATATGGTTAACAAGATATTAACTATGTGTTAACCTCTGGTGAGAGAAATTGTGAAATTGTAGTTAGTTTTGACTAATATTACGCCCTAAATGTTAATTCCTATTTAGGAATTTTTACCATGTTAACTGACATTTCCTGAGTTGGGGCCAAATAGCGGCCTCTGAGCAGGCAGGTATAGATAAATCCCTATCATGACACATGACACAAAAGAAATAGTGTGCAATCAGTGTTGGATATAACCACAAAAGGCAAAGGGTTCTTGAAATAACCCAAATGTTCAAAGAAAATATTATGAGTTCCCTAGATTCAAATACAAAAGGAGCCAACCTCAAGGACTCCAGAACACCCCTTACTTTTAAGCATTAATCATTTATCATGTTTATGATATCTGCCAATGGTGCCGGAAAAAAACATGGTTAACGAGATATTAATCATGTGTTTAAATTATGAAACTCTTCGAAATATATCAGGTGAGCTAATCCTCTGTCAACCCCCTGTGTTTTGTGTGATCAGGTGGAGTCCGTGAGGGGGACTATCACGGTCAACCACCCCAACGCCTCCCCGGGAGAACCGCCCAAGATCTTCACTTTCGACATCGTGTTTGGCCCCGACTGTAAGCAGCTGGATGTGTACAATGAGGTGGCCAGGCCTATAGTGGACTGCTGCCTTGCAGGGTACAATGGTAGGTCCTCACAGGAGCTCATACTAATTTTGTGATTTTTTTTGTATATCTTTTGCAGGTCAAGTCTGATTTTTAGTCTTTTTTCAATAAGTCACAAATGTTAGACTGGCATGTTTGACTGAGGATGTCTGCTGGTATGATTTTGTAATCACTGTACAACTTGAACTCTTGTGTATGAGAGTGTTGTTGCAACATGTCGGTAATTAATTTTTTGGGTATGTCTTTTGCCCTCCTGATTTCTTTAATCATAATTAGTGAATCTTAAGCTAAAATTCAAATTGTCCAAGTTACATCATTATCATGATTACATAAACATGATAAAACAAAGAGTCCCATATTATGATTTTTGTGGCATATTGCTTAGTGCAAAGGTGAATGTCGCTGCATTTTATAAATTGACGTAAATCTCCATGTTTTTATCAATTTTGCCAAATACATCACACGAACATATAGGTATTTAAAAGATATTTTATGATTTTTCCTCATGGATAAACGTGTATGGGACAATTACATATATGACCCTGTTGGGTTTCCAGGTAAGAATAGGTCCCCAGCAACCTATGCTGGTCATGAGAGGCGACTAAATTATACCGTAACTAAGGATACATGATCTGTGTGAGATGGAACAAACTGTCTGTTTACAAAGGGGCATAACTCTTGTAGCCCTTCTTGCATACCACTAATAATATAGTAACCTCATAACAATATTCAGAGATTGTTCATCTTTCAGGGACCATTTTCGCCTATGGACAAACGGGTACTGGTAAAACATTCACCATGGAGGGTGTGAGATCTGTGCCAGAACTTCGTGGAATCATTCCTAACTCTTTTGCACATATTTTTGGTGCCATAGCAAAAGCTGAGGGAGACATCAGGTAAAGAAAGAGTCAGATTAAGACATACATATCTGTCAATGAGATAGATCAGATCAAATGCTTTATTCTGAAACGCCAAATGGTACAACTCTCTGCATGAAGGTCTGACAACGTTGTCATAGAAGTCAGATCAGGTGTACCATGTGCTAACATTGACTGCCCACTGTAAATGATGGATGTTGGGCTCTTTAGCCAAAACCATGTCAGCTTTCTAAAACAATATGACTTCATTTATTTTCCACCTCGATTCCGAAATTATTATTTTTACAAAGGCTAACAAAAATAATAGTCTTGGTTCTCAGGCACCGCTTGGCTCCCTAACAAACAAACAAAATTAGAAGGATGAGCTTTGGACTCCCATGGCTGTATTGTACTGCTGACGATTCACAATAACAGTCACTGGATTGTCTGGTGGCAATCATACAGCTGGAATATTGCCGACTTTGACATTAAAGAACAAACAGATACTCACTCACTTTAGCATGTATCACAAGTGCTTCCATGTTTTTTACATTGTTTATCAGAAATTCAGTGTTTTACTGTTCATGATTTTCTGTTTTCGTTTTGTTAAATTCAGATTTTTAGTGAGAGTGTCCTACTTGGAGATCTACAACGAGGAAGTGCGGGACTTGTTGGGGAAAGACCAGGAACACAGACTGGAGGTAGGTAGAGTTGACAACACAAGGAAACTCACCTCATTACTCCTCTATTTTCATGTACTAATTAAAGTATTACATTACGCATGTTAATTATAAGGGATTAATGTTTGGTTCAGTTCAGCCACAGGTCAAGTAAGCTGATCTTAGACTTTTACATTTTACAACTGTTTTATGAAATCTTACATCAATTGAAATGATTGAAACTCATCTAATTGTATTTGATACGCTACCACTGTTCACTCCAGGTCAAGGAACGCCCTGATGTTGGCGTGTACGTGAAAGATCTTTCAGCTTTCGTAGTGAGCAATGCAGATGACATGGACCGAATCATGACCCTCGGCAACAAGAACCGTGAGTTTCAGCTACTTCTATGGTGGGGCAGAGGGGTGGCCTAGTGGTTAAAGTGTTTGTTCATCACGCCGAAGGCCTGGTTTCAATTCCCCACATTGGTACAATGTGTGAAGCCCATTTCTGGTGTCCCCCGCCGGGATATTGCAGGAATATTGCAAAATCCAATTCACTCACTCACTATTTCTACCATATGTTACTGGGAATTAGCCGTATTGCTTTACAAATCCAAGGTATGAAAAAGGAGGTCAGCCAATACCTGAACCGATGATCTTTGAAAGTATTGTGCAGGACAACGGTCTGAAGAGAGTATGAGACACATGATGCGTATGAACTTTGAGAACGCGTCAAAATGTAAACACAATTGATGACACTGCTCAGGCATGCTTGTTTTGCAGCACTGATTACATATTCTAAATTAGTAATTAATTGTACACCAGTATTACTCGGAGAACTTAAAACACCACATTGTCTTTCTGAAAACTGGTGTCACAAAGTAGTTTATTAATGCTTGGAGCTATGACCATGTGTTTCGCTTACGACTGGGGCTACTGAAAATGTCGAAGTGAAACCCAGCATCACGGTACTGTCAACATTATTCTTTTTCACATGAAAGTATGCTGTTACATCAAAGCTTCAGTTAGGATAGGCTTCTCTGATTGTGTGGTGTTTGTTTCCAGGGGTAGTGGGCAGCACCAACATGAACCAGCACAGCTCCAGGTCTCATGCTATCTTCACAGTCACCATCGAGTGCAGTGAGAAGGGAGCTGATGGTCAACAACATGTCCGTGTTGGGAAACTTCACCTGGTTGATTTAGCAGTGAGTTGCAGATTTCTGTCGGAATAAACACTTGTTTTTCAAATTTATCCTATCCCACACTTTGCATTTCTCTGTTCTCAGCCGATCCTAGAGTGGAAACGATCCTTGAACCCATTTCCGGCTTCAAAAAACACCTCAAATGTACACATCCCAGCTGTGACCATTGTCACCACTATCACCACTGGCTCTTGCAATGCATGGACCTCATGCAGCCTGACCATGTGACCTGCGCTGCCAACACATTCTTGTTTGTTCAGTAGCTTTTGTTTGCCACACTTGTTATTACCCACGAAGGTCCGGGGTAGAATAGGTCTTCCGCAACCCATTCCTGCTGTAAAGGCGACTATGCTTGTCGTAAGAGGCGACTAACAGGATCTGGTGGTCAGGTTCGCTGACTTGGTTGATGCATGTCTCGCATTCCAATTGCGTGGATCGATGCTCATGTCAATCACTGGATTGTCTGGTCCAGACTGGATTATTTACAGACTGCCATCATATAGCTGATTAATATTTGTCAAGCCGTTACCTCCATACTTATAACATGCTCAAAGTACATGGTCATAAAATAGAAGTAGCCATGGCTTCGAATTTGAAAGGGAGATAATAATTGTTTTATCGCATTATCTCCCCTCATTCTATGACACATTTAGGTCCTGTTGTAGGAAGTTTGTAATATATTTCAGGGCTCTGAGAGACAGTCCAAAACAGGGGCCACTGGTCAGCGCCTGAAGGAAGCTACGAAGATCAACCTGTCTCTTTCCACACTGGGAAATGTTATTTCTGCACTTGTAGATGGGAAGAGTAGTCACATCCCCTACAGGAACTCCAAACTGACACGACTACTCCAGGATTCTCTAGGAGGGAACTCAAAGACTGTCATGGTATGTCCTGGGAATTGTTGACAGTGATCTCCATGGTCAAGAACTCCAGGGGTCGGTGGGGTAGCCGAATGGTTAAAGCGTTCGCTCATTACACTGAAGACTCAGATTTGATTCCCCACATGGGTACAATGTGTGAAGCTCATTTCTGGTGTCCCCCGCCGTGATATTGCTGGAATATTGCTAAAAGCGGCATAAAACCATACTCACTCAAGAACTCAAGAACTCCATGGTACTCCATGGTGTTATGTGAGGTCATGGGTAGCTTCTCTGCTTCATCAATTTGTTCATCTTACACCTGAGATTGTTGTAGGACAAAGATCACTCTCCTGAAGCATATCCTAATTTGTTTTATTCAACTATGTTCAGATAAACAGTTAGGTCTCTGGGTTTGGAGTGCAAATTTTAGTAAGTTCCTGTGTGGAGTTGTACAAAGCAACCTTAGTGCTAAGGCTGTCGTAAGTTAATGTAAAGGTATGGGAGTTACGATCACCTTAGTGCTAAGGCTGTCGTAAGTTAATGTAAAGGTATGGGAGTTACGATCACCTTAGTGCTAAAGCTGTCGTAAGTTAATGTAAAGGTATGGGAGTTACGATCACCTTAGTGCTAAAGCTGTCGTAAGTTAATGTAAAGGTATGGGAGTTACGTTCACCTTAGTGCTAAAGCTGTCGTAAGTTAATGTAAAGGTATGGGAGTTACGATCACCTTAGTGCTAAGGCTGTCGTAAGTTAATGTAAAGGTATGGGAGTTACGTTCACCCTAGTGCTAAGGCTGTCGTAAGTTTATGTAAAGGTATGGGAGTTACGATCACCTTAGTGCTAAAGCTGTCCTAAGTTAATGTAAAGGTATGGGAGTTACGATCACCTTAGTGCTAAAGCTGTCCTAAGTTAATGTAAAGGTATGGGAGTTACGATCACCTTAGTGCTAAAGCTGTCGTAAGTTAATGTAAAGGTATGGGAGTTACGATCACCTTAGTGCTAAGGCTGTCCTAAGTTAATGTAAAGGTATGGGAGTTACGATCACCTTAGTGCTAAAGCTGTTGTAAGTTAATGTAAAGGTATGGGAGTTACGATCACCTTAGTGCTAAGGCTGTCCTAAGTTAATGTAAAGGTATGGGAGTTACGATCACCTTAGTGCTAAAGCTGTCCTAAGTTAATGTAAAGGTATGGGAGTTACGTTCACCTTAGTGCTAAAGCTGTCGTAAGTTAATGTAAAGGTATGGGAGTTACGATCACCTTAGTGCTAAAGCTGTCCTAAGTTAATGTAAAGGTATGGGAGTTACATTCACCTTAGTGCTAAGGCTGTTGTAAGTTTATGTAAAGGTATGGGAGTTACGATCACCTTAGCGCTAAGATTGCTTTGTACAACAGCACCCTGGTGTTTGAAAGGCATGCTTGGATTTCACGTTTCTTTGATAAATATAATGCCTTCTGATGATGACTTGATGCAGGAAATCTGTATGCAAGTTTTGGAATGAATGCTGCTGTTTCTTAATTTGATGCTACTTTTTAACCTGGGATGCCTACAGAGTCCCCTCGGCCCTTATATAAATAAGCCAGGTAGGTCCACAATATGCAGCTATCTTGGATAACCTGTTCAACTGTCATTGATCTACAATATGAATGTACAGTCATCCCATGACCGGGGCGGTCGGGTAGCCTAGTGGTTAAAGCGTTCGCTCGTCACGCCGAAGACATGGGTACAATGTGTGAAGCCCATTTCTGGTGTCCCCCGCCGTGATATTGCTGGAATATTGCTAAAAGCGGCATAAAACCATACTCACTCACTCACTCATCCCATGACCCTATAACATTGCAGAAAGTGGTCATTAGTGTATACGATAGTGTTCATAAAATGTAATCACTTGATAGAACTCCTTATCTTACTCATGGGCATTTCATTGTGATTTTCTCTTGCAGGTTGCCAACATAGGCCCAGCTGACTACAACTATGATGAGAGTATCAGCTCTCTAAGATATGCCAACAGGGCCAAGAACATCAAGAACAGAGCCAAGATCAATGAAGATCCCAAGGATGCACTGCTGAGACAGTTCCAGAAGGAGATTGAAGAACTACGCAAGCAGCTGGAGGATGGTAGGCAGTTGTGCTTTCTTTGAGGATTGAATTGAACCTCATATGAACCTTGAATTGTTTCAACTGGTTTTGTGTCTTATGAATCTAATTAAGATCAGATCTTATTGCACGCTACTGCAACACCAAAGATGTGAGGACATCCCATTACAGGTCACATCAGAATAATCTTTCGCAAATATTGAGGGACCAATAACATGGCCTACAGGAAGTAAACATTAGCCAATCAAAAAGCAGCTTTCGAAAGCTTAACGTCTCAAGTTTCAAAATAGTGACTTCTATTTTAGACTACACTCTGAAAAATATTTGAAAAAATTCACAATTCAAAATTTGAACCTGAATAAAAATAATTCTTAAATGTTTATCAAATGACTGAGATTGTCTGGCAATGACCTGTAATGGGATATACATAGATATTTGTGTAGCAGTAGGGAGCTCTAAGATTGGATTTTAATGAGATAATGTTTTTCATGTTCCTACTTGGTTTGATTGTTTTCTATCAACACAATCTTGACCACATGGTTTGATGCTCACTTTATCGACCACTGGTTTGTCTAGAACTAGTGGCACTGCAGGCTGCCAAGGTTTGTTTGACATACAACCCAGTCTGCAACTTTTGTCACAACGATGGCATATCACCAGCTAGCTCTCACAGAGTGTAATTTGTTGCCCTGCAGGAGTGACAGATGAGGAGGGGGAAGATGAGGAGGACTCGGAGGACGATGACGGAGAGCCTGGCGAGGGAGGAACAAGGCGGAGGCGGAAGAAGAGAGGTATGTGATCATCTCCTCATTTTTCCATCAATTCATATTGTGAGCCTTCTTGTCAGCACAGGGGAGCACAAGTCGCCCTGTTGTTGAAGGCGCAGTAATTCACTGTGGGAGTTGTGTCCCTTAGGCAGGCCAGTATCCTTTGTTCAAGGCAATGTTGAACCAATCTCCCAATTAATACTCACACAATATTCGATGCCTCTTTAAAGTGAACTTCTCTCCTTAAGGTGTTGAGAGAGCGAAGTGAAAATGTTAACCCTCCTGATCTGAAGGTTCAGTATTTTGTTTATGTTTGCTGAAACCACCACCCCCATGAAGTAACTTTGTATACATCTTCCTATAAACAATGAAATCTTGTCTGAATGGTGTTACCAAGCGACGTTAAAGAAGGTACTGGTTGTTACCCTGCCTGGCAGTCGACAAGGGCTGCTTGGCGCAGGGCATACTGTGTCAGAGTGGGGTATCCATGGTAAACTGTGGCATGGTATCTCAGTGGGCTGGCACTATAAAACAGGAATTCATCCGGACTAGTACAAGCAGCCAAATACACACAAACATGTGCATGCATGTCACTACATAAATGCAATAACCTTGAACATAGTGTTAAACCTGATCCATTACTCATGGATACAAGTTCTCTGATTGGTTGTTATGTTCAAACACACTTATGTCATTTTATCCATCTTTGTGGGTGCAGACAGGGAACTAATTGCATGAACACTGATATTACTTCAGAAAACAAAACACCACATCGTCTTTCTGAAATACAATTAATTAGGTGATGGTCAATTAGGTCACATGGTGATTTTTATGATTGCTTAGAGCTTTGACCACGTGTTTCATTTATGTCTTGGCCTAATGAAAATGTTAAAATGAAATTCCACATCACGTAACTGTTAACATTACTCTTCTTCACATGAAATTACACTTTTGAATTAAGCTTCAATTAGAATTGTCACCTCTGAGTTATGGTTCGATGAGTGGCAGGTCCCTTATATTTAGCATTATTTGCAATACATGTCTTCTGTAACCATGGTAACACCCCATTATCTACTTGTCCATGCTGCTCAGGGGGAGATGTAGGTGAGTACCAAGGAATGTCTCCAGGTTAGATGGCATGAGGGATGGATGGTGAAATGACTTTTTTAACTTTAGAGAACTTATAAATAAAGTGCATGTGAGAGGCAGAGAGAGAGATGGGTGTTCTTTTATCGTCATACCTCAACAGTAGTGGTGGCATGATGCATCAGTGGATCGCAATTTTTTACTCCTCGATACAAGTATCGATCACAGTCACACACTAAGTAAAAATATTGATTCTGACCTTAAATGTTTGGTTTAATAACTGTTCCACTCAACACTAATAACTAGTGCAAGTTAATAAAATATTTTCATTTGTTGTGCCATACTTCATGCTGCCAACTGTAAATCATCAGTGTGCCAGGTATTTGGCCAACTTGTCTATGAAAAAGATTGCTTGCGCACTACAGATAAGAGCACATGCAAGTATCGTGATACATATAGGATCGTGAGTAAAATATCGTGAAACGAATCGGATTGCACAGTTGGTGTATCGTCCAAGCTCTACTCAACGGTGTGGATCAGTGCATTTATTTCAATCATTGATCTTGACGCAAATATTTATAGGCCACCATCATATTTAGCTGGAATATTGCTGAAATATTGCTGACAAGCAACATGGAACCTCGTTTTACGTAATGGTCAAAATCATGTTTAGGATTTAGTATCATGTGGTCTTGATGGATATTTGTTGCCTAGTAGTTCTGGTCTGCGGTTGCATAGCCCTTTTGTTCACAATGTGGGACTTGGTACTCATAACTTGGATTACGCCTATTGTCCTGTCTTGCATTGTTTTGTGTGGGAGAGGTTTATGTTTTTTATTGTTCAGTAGAGGAAATGCATGTGTAGATTCCAAAGGTGTTCCCCCACATCAAATTTCAGTAGAGAAGTGACTTCCGAACCATCACATGGCATGTGACCACCTCCGTGGTCTAGTGGATAGAAAGTGGCATTGAAGTAGTAAAACTGGTTGACTCAGAGACAGTGTACTGCAAGCATGTCACTATATAAAGTGCAGTTATCTTGAATGTGACTCCGGATTCAGGGCTAGAATAGGTCTTCAGCAATCTGTGCTGGTCCACCCTGTGGGGATTCTGGGTTAGAAAAGGTCCTCAGCAACCTATGCTGGTCCACCCTGTGGGGATTCCGGGTTAGAATAGGTCCTCAGCAACCTATGCTGGTCCACCCTGTGGGGATTCCGGTTTAGAATAGGTCCCCAGCAACCTATGCTGGTCCATCCCGTGGGGATTCCGGGTTAGAATAGGTCCCCAGCTACCTATGCTGGTCCACCCTGTGGGGATTCCGGGTTAGAATAGGTCCCCAGCTACCTATGCTGGTCCACCCTGTGGGGATTCCGGGTTAGAATAGGTCCCCAGCTACCTATGCTGGTCCACCCTGTGGGGATTCCGGGTTAGAAAAGGTCCTCAGCAACCTATGCTGGTCCATCCCGTGGGGATTCCGGGTTAGAATAGGTCCTCAGCTACCTATGCTGGTCCTCCGTGGGGATTCCGGGTTAGAATAGGTCCTCAGCTACCTATGCTGGTCCTCCGTGGGGATTCCAGGTTAGAATAGGTCTTCAGCAATCTGTGCTGGTCCTCCGTGGGGATTCCAGGTTAGAATAGGTTCTCGGCAACCCATGCTGGTCCACCCTGTGGGGATTCCGGGTTAGAATAGGTCCTCAGCAACCTATGCTGGTCCACCCTGTGGGGATTCCGGGTTAGAATAGGTCCTCAGCAACCTATGCTGGTCCATTCCGTGGGGATTCCGGGTTAGAATAGGTTCTCGGCAACCCATGCTGGTCCACCCTGTGGGGATTCCGGGTTAGAATAGGTCTTCAGCAACCTATGCTGGTCCATCCCGTGGGGATTCCGGGTTAGAATAGGTCCCCAGCTACCTATGCTGGTCCACCCTGTGGGGATTCCGGGTTAGAATAGGTCCCCAGCTACCTATGCTGGTCCTCCGTGGGGATTCCGGGTTAGAAAAGGTCCCCAGCTACCTATGCTGGTCCACCCTGTGGGGATTCCGGGTTAGAATAGGTCCCCAGCTACCTATGCTGGTCCTCCGTGGGGATTCCAGGTTAGAATAGGTTCTCGGCAACCTATGCTGGTTATAAGCAGCGACCAATGGAACGTGTGGTCAGACTCGGTGACGTGGTTGATGGCGTGTACTCATACCCCGACAGCATGGGTTGTTTGTCACAATATCAATCACTGGATTGTCTGGTCCAGAATGAATTATTTACAGGCTGGAGTCAGATAGCTGGAATATTGTTCAGTGCAGCTTTAAAAAAAAAAAAACGTGATTTAAATTGAATGAGGTTTTTTGGAAGAAGCCAGGCAATACTCACTGCATTAGAAAGAGGCACTCATATTAATTTTTTTTTTTTATTATAACTGCCATCTGTAGGCCCACTTTTCTTTGGAAGATGATTATCATTTAGTCATAACCACTGATAACATTCCCATCTCATAAAGAGTATAGAGAAAGATGTATCCAATTGTACATAATTTTCCTTTCAAGCTTTGATTAATACGCAAGGTATACATACATTCTTTAAAAGAAATCTCCATTTGATATACATGATATAGTCCACTATTGTTAAAGTACTTTGAATTAAAGCTAACTGTAGATTTTGTACTCCACGTATCATATGTCAGTATTCTGTCACATAGTTGTGGCCTGGGTCATGTGGCCTGGATTCGCAATACAGAGGATGTGTATCTTTGTGTATGTCTGCTGTAGGTGGGAAGAAGCTGTCGAAGGAAAAGATGGTGGAGATCCAGGCAAGGATCGACCAGGACCGCCGGCTGCTGGAGTCAAAGAAAGACATGGCCGAGGAGGAGAAGAACAAGGTCAAGATGGACCTGGAGAAGAAAGAGTCGGAGCTCAGGAAATACCAGTGAGTCAACCAGCTTGGTTAAAGCCAACTTTTATTGATAGTTATCAAATATCAAAAATTTGGCATGAGATTCTGATCCCATGTTTAAAAATTTATTGTAAAACACTGTGGTTATTCCTGGTTAGAAAAGGTGTCCAGCAGGCGATTTAATCGAGTGACTTTGAGACTTCGTTGATAGCGTGTCATCATACCCTGATGGAATGGATTGTTGCTCATAATATCAATCACTGGTTTCTTTGGTCCCCATTCATAGAGCTGATATATTGAGTGTGGCAAAAATATAAAGTTTTATGAAAAGTTATATTTATTTTTTGTTAGGATTTTTTCCCAAATTGCCCAGCAAGTGCTGATCATTTTGTAGTAAAACTTGACTTCCTGATGAATGTCCTGTCTGTTTGACAGAGATGAGCAGGACCAGTTGACCCAGAAGCTGTCAGCCATCGAGAAGAAGATCATTGTTGGTGGGGAAAACCTGCTTGAGAAGGCAGAGGAGCAAGAGCGTCTCCTCGAGGAGAGTGCCCGGGAGCTGGACGAGAGGAAAGAGGCTGAGGACACCCTCCGCAAACAGCTGGAGGAGAAAGAGGTGAGAGCAGGCTTCTCCATCAGCTGCAATGTCTTATGAATGTCTTTTCGGTTCACTGGAGTCCCATCTCACATGACTCGTTTGAATTTCTTCGGCTTTGGTCCTTTGAGTCCATGGTTATAAAACCTTTTGCAAGTGAAGTTGGATTATGGCGTACTGTGATCGTAGGTTGAGAGGGTAAAGTGAGTATAATCTACTGGCACCAAACAGCAGTGTGGGTTTTAAAACTTTGATGCTCCCCAGGGAGTGGAGAATTATGTGTGCCCGGTGATCTGTTGATGGGGTAACGTGGTGTGCAAAATCAGCCTAGTTTGACACTATAAAGCTGTGTGTGAAATAGCCACCTGTCCACTAGCCTGTAGCCTGCAAATTTTCAGTCAGGCCAAAGATTCTCAAATGTCCCTTGCCCTACTGGCTATTGAAATTTTTGTTTCTGGAAAATGTAGCATATTTAAGCTAGTGAAATTTGAAACTGGCTATTAATGTTTTAGGCTCGCTAGCCCACCTGGCCAGCAATATTTTGAGACTATTTCACAAACTGTATGTAAGTGGGTATTGTGTCGGTAATGAGACTGTGTGGGTTGCAGCAAGAACGCCTGGATATCGAGGAGAAGTACTCCAACCTACAGGAGGAGGCACAGGGCAAGTCTCGCAAGCTGAAGAAAGTCTGGACCATGTTGATGCAAGCCAAGTCCGAGGTAGGTCAACTCTCATCATCTGCAATGTCATTGGCCTTATTAACACATTTGTTCACAATGGTGTTAACTTTTATGTTATTGTGAAAATCAATTTGGATGTTTAACTTTTCCTGGTCACATACATTACAGCATGTACCAAGTTGGAATGTGTGTAATGTATTATGAGTGTGTAATATGTAATGAGTGTGTAATATGTATGTAATATGTAATAGGTTTTTAGTATGTAGTGTGTGGGTAATATGTATGTAATATGTAATAGGTGTGTATATGTGTGTATAATATGTAATGTGTGTAATATGTAGTGTGTGTGTGCATTACTTAGACGTTGACGGATGACAAAGCAGCGTTAGAATTTGGCACTAGTCCTGTAGTCCTTGCCAAACTGCCCAATAGTTAAGGTATCATAAGGACTAGTAGAAATTTGGCATTTTTAGGGGTTTTGCTATATGTTATCATTATAAGGACTAGAGGACTAAAACTGTTAGTTTCTACCACTGCAAAGTAGACACAATTTATGGATAACAACTTCTTTAATGCTGTAAAGGTGACATTTCGATATAGATCCTTATATCGTTGTCAAGCAAGACTGATAGAAGAATATTGTACAGAATATATATAGTAGGTGGAGGATTAACAGTAGAGGATAAACAGCAACAACAATTGCATACGTGAGTGGGATGACATAAGTAATTAATAACAGAAGGATAATACTGTCACAACAATTGAACATGATGGATAGAGAACACATAGGTGGAAGCCAATGGGACATGAAGCCCATTAAACAGGATAAGTTTGTATAAGTGTAGTGATTATTGCTTAATGAGTTCATAGTAGGCGTATGGGATGAAATAGCCTTGATCTCTGTTGATTTGATGGCTTTTGGCAGCGAATGTGGACTGCTTCTGTTGGAGAGGATTTGGACGTTGATGTTGTGATTAGGGCAGTTGCTGATATGGTCCGAGATGGCTGATTTACTGTCTGATTTCATGGTTGAGGTTTTGTGCTCTTTGATTCTGGTGTTGATGGAGCGGATAAGATTGTCCACAGTTGCAGTCAATTTTATAAACTACACAAGGCTCTGGGGGTTTGGTTGTGTTCCTGCCGTTGGCTCTAAGCAGGGTGTTGAGGGAGATGGAGCTGGTGAAGTAGGAGTCAATATTGGCTTGCTGTTTGAGGAGGCGGCTGGCTGATGATGTGGAAGGCTTTTCCTATGAACGGGAGGGCGATAGGAAGGGCACTGATTCTGGTTTAAGGGTCGCAAATCTGGGTGTAGTACAGAGGAGATGACTTTGTTGACGAGATTCGGTGTATAATTGTTGAGTTGGGTGAAGACTTGGCGGAGGTGTTCGATCTCAGGTTTGGGGTCATCAGAAGAAAGCTTGATGGCTCGTTTGGTGAGGGTGGAGATGATTCCAGTCTTAGTTCTAAGGGGATGGTTGGAGTTGAAATAGATGTACTGGTCTGTGTGTGGGGGCTTCCGGTAGACACTGGTTTGGATTCTGTTTGTTGGGGTTCTGGAGATGAGGACATCTAGGAAGGGTAGTTGGTTGTTCTTTTCTATTTCAATGGTGAACTGTACTCGGGGGTGTTGTTGGTTAAGATGTTGCAGTTGCAGGGTTGGGTCTTGGTCTTGTTTTAGGATGACGAAGGTGTCGTCAACTTTCCTGTAGCAGCAAATAGGTGTGTGTAGTATGTAATGTGTGTAGTATGTAGTGTGTGTAGTATGTAGTGTGTGTGTAGTATGTAGTGTGTGTGTAGTATGAATTGTGATATGTAGTGTGTGTGTGTAATGTGTGTGTAGTATGTTATGTGTGTAATATGTAGTGTGTGTGTGTGTGTAGTATGTAGTGTGTGTGTGTAATGTGTGTGTAGTATGTTATGTGTGTAATATGTAGTGTGTGTGTGTGTGTGTGTGTAGTATGTAGTGTGTGTGTAGTATGTTATGTGTGTAATATGTAGTGTGTGTGTGTGTAGTATGTTATGTGTGTAATATGTAGTGTGTGTGTGTAATGTGTGTGTAGTATGTTATGTGTGTAATATGTAGTGTGTGTGTGTAATGTGTGTGTAGTATGTTATGTGTGTAATATGTAGTGTGTGTGTGTGTGTGTGTGTGTAATGTGTGTGTAGTATGTTATGTGTGTAATATGTAGTGTGTGTGTGTGTGTGTAGTATGTAGTGTGTGTGTGTAATGTGTGTGTAGTATGTTATGTGTGTAATATGTAGTGTGTGTGTGTGTAATGTGTGTGTAGTATGTTATGTGTGTAATATGTAGTGTGTGTGTGTGTGTAGTATGTAGTGTGTGTGTGTAATGTGTGTGTAGTATGTTATGTGTGTAATATGTAGTGTGTGTGTGTGTGTAATGTGTGTGTAATATGTAGTGTGTGTAGTATGTAGTGTGTGTGTGTGTGTAATATGTAGTGTGTGTGTGTAATGTGTGTGTAGTATGTTATGTGTAGTATGTTATGTGTGTAATATGTAGTGTGTGTGTGTGTGTAGTATGTAGTGTGTGTAATATGTAGTGTGTGTGTAGTATGTTATGTGTGTACTATGTAGTGTGTGTGTGTGTAATGTGTGTGTAGTATGTTATGTGTGTAATATGTAGTGTGTGTGTGTGTGTGTAGTATGTAGTGTGTGTGTAATGTGTGTGTAGTATGTTATGTGTGTAATATGTAGTGTGTGTGTGTGTGTGTGTAATGTGTGTGTAGTATGTTATGTGTGTAATATGTAGTGTGTGTGTGTAGTGTGTAGTATGTAATGTGTGTAATATGTATTGTGTGTGTAATGTGTGTAATATGTAGTGTGTAATATGTAGTAAATGTGTGTGTGTGTGTGTAGTATGTAATGTGTGTGTGTAGTATGTAATGTGTGTGTGTAGTATGTAATGTGTGTGTGTAGTATGTAATCATGGTAATGAGTATGTAATGTGTGTGTGTGGGTTTTTTCAGCTGGCTGACATGCAGCAGGAACACCAGAGGGAGATGGAAGGACTCCTGGAAAATGTCCGCCAACTGAGTCGAGAACTCAAACTTCACATGACAATCATCGACAGCTTCATACCAGCTGAATACCAGGTCAGTAGCCATCATTGGAGATACTGTAGTAGTACTCATGGTTGTTTACTCTGCAGCTAGCCGTATTTCAGCAATATCAGGGCGCCCTGTAAATAATCAATTCAAGACCAGACAATAAGTGGTTGATGCTATGAACAATGTCCCACAAGTCAATTACAAGCAGTCAACAAAGGCACGGTTTCTGTTTCCATCGTGTAAGTTGTAGCCATTGTTTCCATACAATCCACATTTTTCTGATTCAGGGCATCTGATTCATCTGCACTAGGCGTAGGTGACCACAATTAGTATAAATAGGTATAATTTTTGTTACTACAGTAAACCACGGTTATAACAAACACGCTTATAACGAACTGACGGAACTAACATTTTAGTCCCAACTATTTGCTGTAGTTATGCTGTATATATGCTTATAACGAACTACGGTTATAACGAACTAAAAATAGTAGTCCCTTTGAATTCGTTATAACTGTAGTTTACTGTATTACGTTTAGCATATGGGACAATAAATCCACCCAGGACAGATAATCCCAAATCTTGTAAATTCTTGTCCATCATAACGGTGAGGTTTGGTTCTTGCAGGAGATGATTGAGCAGCACGTCCACTGGAATGACGACATCGGCGAGTGGCAGCTGCGCTGTGTGGCCTACACTGGCAACAACATGAGGAAACAGACACCACAGCCAGAGAAGGAGAAAGAAAAGGTCAGTGATCCATGGAGGGTAGGGCTACAGATCCAGGGAGGGTAGGGCTACTGATCCAGGGAGGGTAGGGCTATAGATCCATGGAGGGTAGGGCTATAGATCAATGGAGGGTAGGGCTACAGATCCAGGTAGGATAGGGCTACAGATCCAGGGAGGGTAGGGCCATAGATCCAGGGAGGGTAGGGCTACACATCCAGGGAGGTTAGGGCTACAGATCCAGGGAGGGTAGGGCTACACATCCATGGAGGGTAGGGCTACAGTTCCATGGAGGGTAGGGCTACAGATCCAGGGAGGGAAGGGCCATAGATCCATGGAGGGTAGGGTTACAGATCCAGGGAGGGTAGGGCTACAGATCCAGGGAGGGTAGGGCTACAGATCCAGGGAGGGTAGGGCTACTGATCCATGGAGGGTAGGGCTACAGATCCAGGGAGGGTAGGGCTACAGATCCAGGGAGGGGAGGGCTACAGATCCAGGGAGGGAAGGGCTATAGATCCAGGGAGGGTAGGGCTACAGATCCAGGGAGGGTAGGGCTACAGATCCAGGGAGGGTAGGGCTACAGATCCAGGTAGGGTAGGGCTACAGATCCAGGGAGGGTAGGGCTACAGATCCAGGGAGGGAAGGGCTACACATCCAGGGAGGGTAGGGCTACAGATCCATGGAGGGTAGGGCTGCAGATCAGGGAGAGTAGGGCTACTGATCAAGGGAGGGTAGGGCTGCAGATCCAGGGAGGGTAGGGCTACAGATCCAGGAAGGGTAGGGCTACAGATCCAGGGAGGGTAGGGCTACTGATCCAGGGAGGGTAGGGCTACAGACCTATGGAGGGTAGGGCTACAGCTTGCACTCTTGGATAGGGACGGAAGGACCTTACATTATTAAGCCTGCATTATCGATTGATTGATCAACAGCAAACTCAGTAAAAGAACACATGAAAAGACTTCCGTCCATATCACCCCTCCAAAAGTTATGTGCTATAGGGCTGGGACGTGTAACTCAGGTGCTCGGGTCAGGTGGGTACTGAGCAGGACCTGGGTACCCACAGGACTACCCGGACCTGTGGTTAGACAAAAATTATCTGTATGGTTACACTACAAGTCACTAATGTTCCCATTTCTCTCTGACTATGCACCCATTCCTTTTGACCTTTATGTGTTTGAATAAAGATAAAACTTCAGTCAACTTCAGTGTATGCATAACCAGATCGTTTTATATGTGTATCTAAATACATTTTACCAGGGATACAGTCAAACTATTCCCAATCAGACATTTTGTACCCAACTCATGAGACCTACAGCAGGTAGGGTAATAGCGGGGTGGGTACCCAGGTAGTAAATTTGGACTCATCCCAGCCCTCATGTCCTATGCTTTGACCTTCCATCCATTTATTATACTAATTTTTTAGGGAGGATGCAGGCGGAAGTCTTACCAAACACATTTACAAGTTAGTGTGGTCACAATTAATAACAATAATGTGGCAGGACTGTGTCAGTGTTTTCATACTTTTATGTAAACACGTACCAGCTATAAACAAGCGTATACCATATTTTCTTGAGTATAGTGCGCACCCATGTATAATGCGCACCCCCCCTCTAGCGGGTTCAGTATTTTGGAAAAAAGAAATTTGAATATTATGCGCAGAAAAAAATTACACCGTACCGCTTCAGCGAAGTCCGGCAAACGAACAGGTGATGAGAAACTTCGTCGGTACAAATTCGAAATTTGAGATAAAAAATCACCAGACATGTTGATTTACCGTTTAAATTGTATTTTTTGTTCAGCTAGGCATTGTTTTATATCCAGGGATTAAGATTACCTTGTGTATTTTCTCGTAAACTAAGCCGGACACAGCAATCAGCTGTACACATGTTTTCTTGGAATCTACCGGTGATTCGGTCAAGACACACCCAATGATATAACTTTACAGTATTTTAATGCAAGGATCGGCAAAAGTTGTATCTGAAACTATTTTTTTTATCAGGAATAATATATTCCAATATCTTGTTAATTTAGATGGATCTTTTACTAAACATATTTAAAATAATAAAAACCCTAAGCAAACAGCTGATCGCTTTTGCCGGGTATTATTTTTTACATGGAACCACATAGAATCGTCCAACAAAAACAAATATGACTTTTAACGAATCAAAGTATGGCATTTATGATATATGTATCCATTCTCTGTCAACTAAAGTTTGTTTCAAGGCGTCAATAGCGGTAATCTGACCGTGGTTGCTGTTAATAACGGTGAGTTGTGCAATCTTTCGATTGCTTCACACAGGATTTCGCCAAAATTAATTAAAACAATATTAAAAGGAATTTTGAATAAAATTAATGAAATAAGTTACAAACAGATATACAAAAAAACACACTTTTTATAGCCAGACAGTGTAATTACATGATTAATTTGCAAACTTCAGTATGGATTTGTTGACATGGTATTTCCGGTGTTACGTGCTCACGGTCTTTCAATGGGAGAAAAAACATCAAAACTCATTAATTCATGTATAATGCGCACCCCCTTCTACACAGCTGTGTTTTTTGGAAAAAAATGTGTGCACTATACTCAAGAAAATACGGTAAGTATAACCATATGCATGTCAAAAGTAGTCCTGTTTCCATAAATAACCTATACATACACTAGATAGACATTATACACAGTTTTCCAATCTTGTCCAAGAGTATGAAGGATTCCAAACCTGATCGTATGTTCTGACATTCCTAGTGGCTTTATTACATAAAAATAAATGACACAGGGTTTTACCTTGACCTACAAAAGTGGGGGATGAATTTTAAGCATCTTTGTGGGCAATATGAGGGTCTCGTAAAATAATGAAATGGTGTAGTGTACTGTTTGTTTAGATAATTAATTTGACATATACAACAAAAAAAGGTTTTACCTTGACTAACAAAAGTCGGGGATGAATTTTAAGCGTTTTTGTTGGCAATATGAGGGGCCCGTAAAATAAAGAAATGGTGTATTGTACTGTTTGTTTATATAATTACTTTGACATATACTACATAAACCTACCAGCTATCTGATCCAGCCACATGTAGATGAGGCTTTGTATCCTACAACCCTGTGTAGTGTAATAGGCCCCTAATGTCTCTAATAGGTGCCCAGTGACAGCAGAACAATATAGAAATGTGGCAAGGGTCGGATGTATACTGTGGTGCTTTGCGTTGTGTTCTCCTCTCCCTAAGAAGTATTCGTTGCCTACATGTGCTGTAAGGCTGCTGGCCTGGGTTATCAGTTCTAATTATAGATACAAGAACAAAAAGAAGGAATGGAGTTTAATTTGAAGTTTATTACCAACCAAAAATGAAGGCCAAACTTTCATGTGCTTATTTAAGAAAACCCTACATACTTTTCCCCCTTCCCTGCCAAAGTAAAACTTTTGTAAATCAACTGTTGAATTTTATATTACATCCACCCTGCTCCCGTAATAACATATCCCCAAACAAAACCTATTCAAATCCCATGGTATTTCTCCACCACCCATAACTATCCTTAATCTAACAATTTTCCCAAACAAGAAAATAAAAGAAAACTGGATCTCTCAAACATGGCTGCTGCCTAGCCATGCATGCAAGAAGCGTGACATCATCACATTTTCCCAGCCACTCCTTCCACGTAGGCATAAGCTTCTACAATAAAATTATTACAAGGGTAGATACTGCATCAGCCGCCCAGACAAATCCCACCGACTACGTTTCAAATTATATGAATTTACCCTCAAATCACGAATCATCCCCAGCAGGAAAGCAGAGTAAAAAAGTTTCATAATTGTGTTACCTGTTGCCATAGTTACCTAAGAATTGACAGTTTTCATGTACTTTAGGATCCTTTCATGGTATAGGACACAGTTTGGTCAGTTCTCTGTTTAAATTCTTCAATATTTTTTGAAATATTGATTTATGGAATAAGGATCAAGGTTGCCTTTAAGTCAAGACACAGGTGAGAGAAAAGATTCTAAATGTATGGGATGTGTTAAGTGAGTAACTCTCCAATACAGATCTTAAGAAAATTCCCACAGTATGCTGATTTGGTCCAATATTGAGCATATTATTACTGAATGCTATTCCTCTGTGCCTCCAGTTCCAGGAAGTGGACCTGTCCCACGTGTATCTCGCCTACACAGCCGAGGGAGCCGCGGAGGCCATGAGACCAAAGACAGCAAGATCAAAATCCGGCAGACCCAAAACGGCAAACAGGCCTAAAAGTTCAAAGAAGTAAGTAATGAATAAGAACTCTAGGAGAAGGTGCTGCGATTTACTGTGGAGAGTTGTGTGCTTTTATTAAAACCCTGATTCCCCCTGAAATTATCCTAGGTGTGTATGCGCCATACCTGTGCTGAGAGGTTTCATCAGAGTTGCAGCATCTACGAATTGTGTCACTTTGGATTCATCTTCCCGAGGCAAGGGAGTTAACTTACTGTAACAGTCCAGTTTCTTCCCTTGCCGAACTAGGCTGGAATTTCCACGTTCACCGTAGCACCACCAGTGGCTATTACAAGTTATATCCCTACTATGTCCCTCCTATTGACCAATCAGATTCCACCTCACTTACATTTGCTTCAAACAAAATGGCACTGTCCAGTCTGATCGGTAATCAAGATCTCTATTGTAATAAAATGGTCTTACCTTGCGAAGTGCATCAAATCATGTGAGCACATTGATTAAAAACAGGAAAAGATTTGACGGTACACTGCTCTGCCAATGTCCAATTGACTGAAATCTGCATGGCAGTTTTACGAACTGGATGTCTATTTCGTTAAGCGATTTTGTTTGGACTGTGCATAGATTCATTTGTCCAGCCAAAATATAACTCCATGATTGCAGCCTAGTTTGGCACGGGTGGAAACTAGACTTTCATAGAGGCTTTGGATTTTCCAGGAATGAGAATTTTCAACAGATCGGCAGAGTTCCATGGATTCCGTAATATCAAGGGTCACTTTTGTAATGCATGTCATTACAATGTACATATAAATCATATATTCCCCAGAATCCTGACCAACTTTCAGTGTGTTTTTTTTTTTTTAAAAACCATTCAAACCCCTGAAAATGGCTTGCTATGATATGACTGAAATGCTGTCCAAAGCTGTGTCAAACAAACCTAGTTCACTCACTCACTCATGCTAAGTAAGTAGGCTATTAACAGGGCAATAGAAAGGTCAAAGGTTTTGTATCATGAGAAAAGAAACTTTAAGGCCAACCTCGAGTTCAAATGAAAAAGTTCATTAAAATTTCCATCTGGTCCTCCATGTTGATGGTTTTAATAATGGTTCCATTAATGAATGAATACATACACGGTAGTGAGACCAAAAGATTGAAGTTATGTTATACTTGTTCGACAACACTGTTTTGGCTCTCAGTTTAGAGAACATACCCACTTTCAGGTTACCATGTCTGTTAGATATGCTGTCAAGAATGCCATATTTTTGGTTTTGAAGTTGTATGTCATTCACATTTTCATCACACTCTCTTCTTGATGGTAGGATCAACCAACAATGAGACCAGCAGTTGACACTTGTACAGAGTGATGTTCCTCAAGTAGATAGGGCTAATTGATATGTATAAGCAAAAGACCTCCTGCCCCCTGATAAAACTGATAACATCAACTAGATAAGATGTCAGAAAGTTAGACCGTCGTCAGCCTTTAAGTGGGGAGATAATGGGACATGGACCTAAGGATCCAGCTAATCATATTTTATATGGATGGAATATTGTTTTTCCACCAGTCCAAGACTCCTTAATTGTGCTGAGCACAAGTGAAAATCCAAGGATGGTAGTCATGAATTCAAACTGAATGAAACTGATGGTAGTAGGCAGTTTTGCCTCATTCAAGCAGGACCAGCAGAGGACTATTGAAATAAGTTGTCATTGTAAACAATGAAAATGGTGAGGTATCGTAAATGTATGTGTCTTTTAATTAAGAAATAAACAACTCGTGGTCATTGCTTATCATACCGTAAAACCCTGACGTAAAACTATTTACCCAGATTTAAATAATGATGACTACTTGAATAGAATCTGACCTCAGAAATGTCAGACAAGTCCATTTTACGAAGAGGTGGGTTAAGTTATGCATATTCTCACAATGGTCACGTCAAGTATCTATACCTTTTCTCCTGATACTGATTGTCATAGTTCTCCCACTGTTGGATGTGATCGTTCAGCCACTGTGTTCATCTGTGTAGCCCAACTACATCTATGGGGAACAATTTACTGGACACTTCCTTCTAAACAATAATGTCATCCAATATTTTACATCCACATTTTACATCATCAACAATCTCCTGAAATGACGTCATATCATATCATATCTATCTTATATTCGTTATTGAATGTATAATATAAATGCAGCCCGTGTGTTATGGCATAGGTTTCATATCTGACGAAAATTCCATTGCAGGAAGCGAAAGGAAAACGAACTGGAGACCTTGCTCCAGTGACTATTGTCAGGGGCATTCGCCCTGACTGTGTTCAAAGCAGTGTTGCTATGGGAACAGTTCCAGGAGAATGCCGTTGCCACAGTGCTGGCACACTAGAGCCGCCAGCCGAAGAGGAGTGAGTGAGTGCAGTACGGCGGATTCCTGTCAGGGCTAGACGCTGGAATTCCATGACAACACATCTAGCCTGTTTACTGTGATATCTTGCTTATGTCATGCACCAGTCATCAAATCACCAGATCATCTTCATGTTGTCCGATCTGTTGTGGCATTTATCCATGAGACAATTTATTTACTTCTTCTTACTTACAAATGTATCTGTCGTCATGATAAATGCCAAGAATGTTTACAGTCTGCATCTCGAACCAGTGACTCACTCCATTAAATTATGCTAGCCCATACAAGGTGGATATGCATCATGATACATGTCATGAAATAATGCTGAATTTGCAGCGCTGTGAAATGGGAAAGGTTTAATGTCTTGTTAGAATTTGACCTCCGTAGGTGATTTTTCTAATGGCTACGACCCAAAGGTTATTGACATCAGAGGATATCCTACAATGGTCGTATTCCACATAGACTTGGGGATTCTTTAGGGTAAGGATCTCAATATAGAAGTCTCACCATTTGTACTGCTGATCTTGAGGCAGTTGTGTGAAAAAAGCAAAAATTGCAAATTGTCTCCCCTTTGTCACCAGGGATTTCAGACAGTTAAAAGAACATGCACAATGCACCTCTGCTCTGAGGCTTTGGTCATCCGTATGCCAGTGTATGGATCTGGTTTTTAGAATGTTTCGTACCAATTGACTGAAAACAAGTCAGGTCTGCTACGCAGGAATGAGAAAACGAATTCTATGAGGTAAAAAGCTCTTTTCCCTATGTGTGAGTACTGTTGATGGTTATGATGAAACACGTCCTTGGTCTGTGTTGTAATGCATACCTGTTGTTTTTATCAGGGATTAAGTCTAATTTTTGTTGACCTTACCTCTTCCAGGATACAACATTATTAATTTGATAGCTTAATACAATAAAGTGTTGGAAAAATTCTGAAAAAAATCTTTCTGTTCAGTATTCAACATGTTTTAACATAATCTCAGTTGAAAGATCTGAAATAGTGTCACGTGATCTGCAGGGAACTCTCAACTGCACATTTGAGCAATATAAAGCTGTGAGGAGTATGTGAAGTGTTACCATGGTTACACAAAGACAGGAACAATATGCTTGTCTAATGTCTTTGTTATATAGATTAAGTTATCTCACCAGCTGTAACCATGGGAACCTTTTTTCTCAGATATGCTTTAACGGACAATTATATAAACTGATAATCCTTGTCTGTACATTTTGAAAGTGTAACTAGTTAGAGAAATAGAATTGTGTGGTGAGAATATATAATTTGGAATTGATAATTTACCTTTGATTCAACTGTCTCTAGTAATAATGAAATCCTTTTGTTTTCATTTTTACAAACTTTGTGATGACATGAACATATTTTCATGTTTGTTCGTGTATTTCTACAACAGCAATGTCATGTTTGAACAGAAGAAACATCACTTTTGATCAATTATTTCATCAAAATTAAGATTCACATTTCATGATGAAAGAATTTCAAATAGATTCTAATGTCAGATAAGTGAAGAAAATATACATTGTTTTTCGATGAAAACTTGATAATACAATATAAATTACAAACTTTCAGGCAACATCAGGAGAACTGAAACATTTCGTTCTCGGGAAACATCTGTTGAAAGCTGTAGTTGTATTCGTTAATATATAATGTGCTACTCATATGCTCAGCATTTTTAATTTCTTCCTGAAGCAAGATGGCAGTTTGTTCCCAAGATCCAGTGTCTATTTGCTGTATTTTGTGTGATGTTTCTCTTGTTTGAGTTGGAGCTAAGATGTGTGATAATGTACCTATCCTGTTACTAAGGACTCTATTTGTATTTGTTCATGTTTTACAAGTATACCATGTAACGCATAATGTGTCATTCACCCATTGTCACTTTTTACGTTTGTATATATGTGAAATCCACTGTAGATAATTCATAAGTTATTTGTAAGTTATCGAAAAGATAAAGAGCAAGAATCATACGTACATGATTTGATGTTGTTTATTTATCCAGCAAAGTGCATTATGTTGACTGAACAGTACACTGAAATCTCTGATTTGGGAAATCAAATTGAAAAACAGCAAAATGTTCTTCGGTATGGCTGAGAGTAAAAACACAGGATTTCCCCCATCGTATTAATGGTGGAAGAAAGCCATTAGGTCGTAGATCATAATCATGGCAAGTTGGTTGGTTGGTTTGTTGTTTAATGCCGCACTCAGCAATATTCCAGCTATATGACGGCGGTCTGTAGATAATCTTGTCTGGACCAGACAATCCATTGATTAATATCATCAGCATCGATCCACGCAATTGGGATCGATGACATGCATCAACCAAGTCAGCGAGCCTGACCACCCGATCCCGTTAGTCGCCTTTTACGGCAAGCATGGGATGCTGAAGACCTATTCTTCCCCGGAATCTTCACGGGTCCATGGCAAGTTGGGGTTAAATACCATGATCAGTTTCGGTGTAAATGTGAATTCCCTTGGCCCGCTGGCCTTGAGTAATGCTTATGGTAATGCAATGCAATGCAGTCATCCTGGCTATTCCATCTATCTATTTCCTGCTGAACTCTTGGCTGCTAATTCACTGAAGGAGGCGCATCAAATGCTGGACCAAAGCTCAAGTGACTGAAAGTCAAATGCACTTACATGTCAAATTGTCTGCCAGTCATTAACTTTTAAGTTTTGACAGCTCAAAAGGCACAAGGACAATGGAGCTAAACTTTGCATGTGTCTGAAAGATGCATGCGTAATTCCGATCTGTTTTGAAAAAGTCAGGTGAGCTTATGTCATGGCCTACTTGTCTGGCATCAGCGTCATCAATATCTTCTGTAAATGTCAACTCCTCAGCGAGTGAGTTTATTTTACGCAGCTTTGAACAATATTTCAGTCATATCACAGTGTGTCAGCTTAATGTGGGAGGAAAGCCCAAAGTGATACTGGTCTCGGACATTAACCACTTCGCTGAAACCCACGAGTACAGGTATGGCGCGGACAAACCTGATATATAACCGGGGCTAACCGGGATTCGAACCCACAACCATAGGAACAATAGACTCATTGTTTATAATTCTAAGAATACCTCCTGTACTTTGGCTGCAATATCACAAAACTAATCAGAGTGAGTGAGTGAGTTGGTTTTAACGCCGCTTTTAACATTATTCCAGTTATATCGCGGCGTGGGAGGAAAGCCCGAAGTGATGCAGGTCTCAGACGTTTACCACGTCAGTGAACCCCACGAGCACGGGTATGGTGCTGACAAACCTAGAAACATAATTGGGGCGAACCCACAATTATAGGTTTCTGGCGTGCCCAAGGGACGCAACTCTGCACAGCGAATCCCGGCGCCTTAGACGACTTGGCCACCCATGCCCCCACTAATCTTCAAGTCCTCTTCACTGTCTAATTGCTGTTTCCTACCCCGAAGGTGACAAATACTATAACCATATGCTCCTAAATTATGTGGTATGTAATATGTTCTGTGTGGATTTTAGATAGTAACATGGAAATCATGATTTAATGTCAGTTTTGTAGACGCTTGTTGTTTCTTTTCCTTAGTATTTATTTGTCTTTAACTTTTCCCTCATTTCTATCCAAAATATTGTTCCAGAAGAATTCAGAAGAGCTACAGAGCCTTGTGACTATTTTAAAAAAATCATTTGTGCTTTGGAATTTCCCAATAAGTATGGGCAACTGGGTAGCCTAGTGGTTAAAGCATTCGCTCATCACACCAAAGACCCGGCTTCGAATCCTGACATGGGTGCAATGTGATAATGCTGGAATATTGCAAAAAGCGGCATAAAACCATACTCACTCACTCACCCCCAATAAAAACAAAATACATGATTCTAACATAACATTACACAGTATGTTTATTTGACAACATCCTATCAATATATACACAAATCAACAAAAATATGCATGATATGAGTGACACTAAAATAGGACATTTTCATAGACTGAAAGGTCAATATCAAAACATGTAGTAGGGAACTCTAGCTCTGCAAAAGAAACTTAAACTGGCATTCACTTATTTCTTTGAGTTATTCTTTACTTTTCTCTTAGTGATGACCTTTCAAAAATATCTCAATTAATATTCAAGAAACATTCCAAGTGAGCTTCAGAGCCTTGTGTCTATTTTTTGCATAATCTTTAAATTTTGGTGCTTTAGTATTTCCTCAAAACGAAATATATATGCTTGAAACATTATGCAAATGAACACTCTAAGACTAAACAGTGTTTGACAACATCATATCACCTTAAACAAAATCTTAAATACATAGTATACTATAATAGACAGATGTAGTAGATGAATCAGGTAGGGTTGGAATTCTGGTTCTGCACAACAGAACTGGCATCAAGACCACATAATTAGTTTCCCAGCTAATTAAGCTCAGTTCATTATAGGTTACATTAGGGTGGGGTGTACCAATCCACTAGGGCTGGGACTGTAACTCTGGGGTACCCAGGTCTGGTGGGTACTGAGTAGGACCCAGGTACCTTCAGGACTACCCGGACCCTAGGTTAGTCACGTGATATATTGCTTAATCACAAAAATTATCTAGAACTCTATTGTTACGCTAATGTTCACATTTCTTTCTGACTATGCACCCATTCCTTCTGAATTTTCATATGGTTAAATAAAGATATAACTAGGTCAACTTCAATGTTTGTATGACCAGATTGTTTAATACATGTATCGAAGTACGTTTTGCCAGGGCTTTGGTAAAAGAATTCCCAATTGGACATTTTGTACCTATCTCTTGAGACCTACAGTTGGTACCCGGGTACGGTTGGGTAATAGGAGGGGTAGGTACCCGGGTAGTAAATTTGGACACGTCCCAGCCTTTCAATCCACTTATCTTAAAATACGAGAAGAGAAAAATAATCAGAATGACAATGCTGTTTTAATGCTACCCACTGTAAACATTACTGTGACAATTACCTAATCCAAGGAATGTTTATATGACTAAAACAGAAAATTATCAAATGATAATCGTCAAATTGGTTACAAGTCTAAATTTAGATTTGATATTTACAAGGACCAAAACCACTACCGATCCTAATCCAAACTGATATTTAAAAAATCCTGGACAATTCATTTTATTTTTTCAATAAAAAAAAAAAGCACACCCCAAAAAATAGTGTCTGGCCTTGGACAGAAAAAAATGCTGGTGAAATCAACGATGAAAGCAAATTTCTAAAGATCTCACTGCATCCATCAACCAAACAAGCAAGCTGCCAAATTATACAGAAAAGACAAAAGGACCACCACAAATTAAAACAGGAATGCACTGAGGTCTGTGTCATTGATCGAACAAGACAAACAAATGAATGATTTGATGGAGATCGCTTCATCGTCACAATTGAGTATCTTGCTATTGCCAGTAATGATGGCTCCATATACTCAGTCCCTTGCAATGACTTCTGAAATTGGGACAGGTTCTGATGATATAAAAATCTTTGTGGCAACAGATTAAAAACAAATGCAGTGTTAGAGCTTTCAACAAATCATCAGTCAAGTCAATCATATTTTATCTCATATGATCAAACTAATGATAACTGTCACCTTTCAAATGCAAATTGACAACAAATATACCGAGCATGCATTTAGTTAAACTATTTCACAAAATAACAAAACAACACAAAGAACAATATGTCAATAAGGCCTTTCATTTCTTATGAGTTGGTGTACAAAAAGTGGAATAATGTTTTAATTACATTATGAACTAATGAGAGAGAAAAAAGATATTATTGTAATCCGCATACATGGCGATTTTTATGACTTCTTTTGAGAGATCACGGCTCACTTGTATCCTCGCACTCATAAGGCCCCCCTTCCCCTGGTGGGGCACATTTCTTCCAAAAACAGCAGTGACTAAATCTTGTTTTTTCCCTTTTATCCTAATTGTAAAGTAACAAAAAATGTTTGTCAATTTATATTTTTTTTCTGTTTTCAAGTTTTGTTGGTAAGTCAGTCTCATAAACCAACTAAATAATATATACAAGGCCTAAGAGAAATATATAATGTTGAAAGAACGAGCAAAATGGACATAAATGAGTTCCAATGTAATGTAGGATGTATAACAGCGAACTCATACCATATGTAGTATACGACAAGAACACAGAGAAGATGAAAATAAAGCTTTGGGGTAAAGAACATCCTTCCCGGGAGATAGCCTCCTATAATGCCGGACAAACAAACCTGAGCATGGTGAGACTGCTATCTTGTCTTCATGCATCATATTTCACATGGTTTCTATATGTGAAAATGGAGGACTCGCTTGAACATTTAACAAAAATGTGAACGACAACTGTATAATATATTTCTTTATTATTCAATTAAAAATTTAACTTTGAGCACATCTTAAAAGAGAATCTAATTTTGCATTCTTGTTTACAATGACAAAGATAAAAAATACAAAAATATCATTTTCACAACTGATGTATGTATGGAAAACGCACGCCATTTACTCGTCTCTTAACTTATCTGAACCAGCAAATACAATGAGTTTCATAGTCACCACAATTAAGCCGAAACAAAAGCCTTTTTCAAAAGTTGATCCACCTGGAATACAATATGGAGAGTTATAATGCTTAGTTGCTTATTACTTATGTTAATAAAACAGGTCAACTGTGAATATTATTGAGATGGTATTCGATAGGCATAGACACTCTCAGACCTTTCTAGGGAAATCTCACATATCAGGTTGTATATTTAACAGCAAACAGTTGTAACAATACTAACAATATGTCAAAACAAATATTTCATGAACTGCAAAAGTAAATTTCAACTAGTCTAGACAGGGAAATGTTTCAATTTAGAATTGACTTCAATATGTTTTTACGTTAATACGTCCATAAATGCAAAAACATATTGAAGTCAATTCTTACAAATAAATATGTCAACAGTAATAACTTCACAGACTGCCTATCCAATCATTAACACACAAATAACTATAGACAACAATACAAAATCATCGACATTGTTCAGCGCAATAATGCAACAGAAGCCCCTCCCATTTCATATCAGCCTATCAAAGAGAAGTCTGTTGGTGGGCGTGGCTCAATTCTTTTTCAGTTTATGGAAACAATACATAAAAAGCTTGATCAGCCAAACAAATGCCACAGAATCACTGCAAATTATTTATTCAAATTATTAACTGAAAGCTAACAAATCGCATCGCCGTCATGAAATATGCTCTTGCAGTTAGGATAAGATCATGGTAACCCTACTGACTGAAATATACACATGAAAATGCAGTGGAACTCTACAGCTAAACACAATGGTAGCAACCAATGGACACACAGTATTGGCAGTACATGCACGTTCACACATGAAACGTGGCCATCTTTTCTAGCTACAAAAATAATTTTAGATCACAGATTACAATATGGGTATACTTTTAACATTTTCAAGTTAACAATAACTATAACATAATATAACAGATGCTGCTGTTTTCCTCTTAAGAGTTTGTGGAATCCTCCATATGAGCGAGTCAACCATCGCCACTACTTTTGTGATTGTCTACACTATGTTCCTCCATCTGCCGCGAATACATACAGTTGATCTCAGTTTAGTTGCTAGTTGCTATCAAGTGATGGCCTGGCTCAAGTTCGTGGCAAACTAGCAAGTACTGACCAATGAGCTATCAGGTTACATCTCAAAAAGGCCAACAATGTGTGCAACATTAGCTCCACACATTGCTTCAGTGTCAGGCAATGGTAGGATTCACACAAAGTCTGTGCACGGAGTTTGGCTCATTTGGCATCCTTGAGTTATACACGGTTTCATTTCTTTCTTACCGTAACAGACCCATGTCAGCCGTATTTACTAACAGCAATGGATAAACAGTGTCATATTATATTAGCAAGTGGCATCATGGTACACATTACACATTGCACAGCAGTCAGAGTAGGACTTCAGCCTCCTAGAACAGGATTTCAGTTATATCATAGTGTCAGCTGAAGGCTTTTGTCTGTTATTTTCATTTGAAATTTGACCGATGAAATTGTCTGTAAATCAAGTACGTTATTTTCTTGTGTATAGTGCACAATTGAGTATAATGCACACATACCATTCTTGGGTTTCAAGGAAACATATCTATATTTGTAAATTGTGCACAGTCAAACACTACATTGTATCACTTCAGATGACAAATATCAGATAACAAACTTTGTACATGAAAACGTGAAACATGTGATAAAACCCTGAACATGATGATTTACAATTTCAAGTGTGTTGACTGTATGCAAGGTTTTTTTACTTTTACCAGATTTTTCCAAAATAAGATATGATAAAGTTTACATGTGGAACGGGTCACCATCAGGGGCTTCTCGTGGACTTTCTATTTTGATCGCAAAAACATTAAGTTGACATATAACAGTCAAACTAACAAAGTTCATTTCAAAGACCTTAATTTGTATTTACCATATGCTAGACTTCTTACAAATCTGACTAAGATTTGTTTTAAAGCGTTGGTAGTGGCAATCTGACCGTGGTTGCTGTAAATAATGATGAATTGGTACGATCTGCCCATCTGCCAAACACCATTTCACCAAAATAATGTAACACTATTAAATGATATCTTGAATATAATTAATATAAGATTAAGTACAGATAAACATTCTTTCTAACCAGATAGTGTGATATCAGGACTATGTTGCATACTTCGGTACGCATTTGTAACAATAGATACAGTGTAGCAAGCTCACAATTATATCTTTGTGTTGAGAAAAATAATCAAAACTGGATGTATGTGTGTATTAAGTGCACCCTACTACATACTACATCATTTTAAAAAACAGTGAGCACTATACACAAGAAAATACAGTAACAAAAAAATACAAACGACATATCTTGAACTGTACCGACTATTATTCAGTCAACATGGACTCAACCCACACTGTACTCTTGGAATGATGCACTTGTTAGGCCAAGAAACAAACAACATGACAAGGCACAACGTGTAACAGCTACTCGTCTGCAACAGTGTAGAACTAGCTCACCATGAGAGGGTAAGCATGGATGATCAACAGTCTCATAACCTATCCTCCTGTTCACAGCATCATTCAGTGGACAAGTCCACAACCAGTCACTCCTCCTTCCAATCATCACTGTACAATCTTTATTGAGACTGATCAACGGAAACGTTTTCTTTTATGATTTTCCGGACTCATACTTGGCCATTGAGATCTTCATTTGTGAGTTTTCTTTCTTTACTTTTTCAAGCTCATCGCGAAGAACTGAGTTTTCCTTCTCCAAGAATGCAGCTCTCATGGCTATCTGGTTCTCCTTGATGCGTCTGGCGTCCCGGGATCGTTTTGCTGCGACATTGTTCTTCTTCCTCCGACACCAGTACTTGTCATCCTTGTTGTCGTCGGGGACAAAGATCTGGAAGTACATTGCAGTGACTTTACAATATGGAACATGGTTTGTTTGCTATTGGTTTTTGGTTTACAGTCACCATGGTTACAGCTACATCATGACTGCAAATAATGGGGTCAGTTCCAGACAAACTAAGGGTAAATATATGATCAACCTCCTGGATGTTTGGGGTAGAATGACACACAATCAACCAGTGGGGTCAGACAATCAACCAGCAGGGTCACACAGTCAACCCACTTTGTCACACAATCAACCCACTTGGTCACACAATCAACCAGTGGGGTCACACAAGCAACGCACTTGGTCACACTATCAACCCACTTGGTCACACAATCAACCAGCTGGGTCCACACAATCAACCCACTTGGTCACACAATCAACCCACTTGGTCAGACAATCAACCAGCTGGGTCACACAAACAACCCACTTGGTCACACAATCAACCAGCTGGGTCACACAATCAACCAGCTGGGTCACACAAACAACCCACTTGGTCACACACTCAACCCACTTGGTCACACACTCAACCCACTTGGTCACACAATCAACCCATTAGGTCACACAATCAACCCACTTGGTCAGACAACCAACCCATTAGGTCACACAATCAACCAGCAGTGTTACACAATCAACCCACTTGGTCACACAAACAACCCACTTGGTCACACAATCAACCCACTTGGTCACACAATCAACCCATTAGGTCACACAATCAACCACCAGTGTTACACAATCAACCCACTTGGTCACACAAACAACCCACTTGGTCACACAATCAACCCACTTGGTCACACAATCAACCAGTGGGGTCACACAATCAACCAGCAGGGTCACACAAGCAACGCACTTGGTCACACTATCAACCCACTTGGTCACACAATCAACCAGCTAGGTCCACACAATCAACCCACTTGGTCACACAATCAACCCACTTGGTCAGACAATCAACCAGCTGGGTCAGACAATCAACCAGCTGGGTCAGACAATCAACCCTCTTGGTCACACAATCAACCCACTTGGTCACACAATCAACCCACTTGGTCACACAATCAACCCACTTGGTCAGACAATCAACCAGCTGGGTCACACAAACAACCCACTTGGTCACACAAACAACCCACTTGGTCACACAATCAACCCACTTGGTCAGACAATCAACCAGCTGGGTCACACAATCAACCCACTTGGTCACACAATCAACCCATTAGGTCACACAATCAACCAGCAGTGTTACACAATCAACCCACTTGGTCAGACAATCAACCCACTTGGTCATACAATCAACCCACTTGGTCAGACAATCAACCAGCTGGGTCACACAATCAACCCACTTGGTCAGACAATCAACCAGCTGGGTCACACAAACAACCCACTTGGTCACACAGTCAACCAGCTGGGTCACACAATCAACCAGCTGTGTCACAGGTAGGATTAACCTCACACAGCTTTGTCTCTCTGTCAAAAAACAGCAGTAAGTGCATTAAGGAGTAATCCAGGAGACGTTAAAATATCGAAGCATTACAGCCTGTTTCTAATTGTTGGTCTTGCTGTAATACAGGTTACTTCTACAAAGCCATAACATTAGTTATTAGATATATGTATTACATGAATTAGGAAATGTTTTGTCCCAAATTGGGATTTTTTTTATTGACATTTGCTGCGGACTTGGGGCCAAATATTGGCCTCTGAGCAGGTCAAGATAAATACCTAGGTAATGGTTGTCAAGAAAAATGTTGTTCTACCTTTCTTGATTTCTTTATCATTGGCTGAGGTTTCAACTCCTCTTCTGAAAATACCCTCTTACGAGGATCAAAGTTCTCTTGACCTGGAAAAAACAAGACAAGTCATTTCAATTCCTCGATCCAGTGTCTTTGGTAATGGTAGGTATTCATGAGCGGTTCTCGACATACAACAAATGGGGATGCATGTCGCGTAGCAGGAAGATTATTGCTTTTACATAGCAATGTGCACACATGGTGCACGCTTGCAATTATCTGGACTAATGACAGTTTTATGGAGACATACCAAGTTCTCATGTTTTGTAAAAGGTTCGAATATCATGAAATGGATTATCACGTGATGTCTTGATTCTCATGTGCTATCTTGATATGGATTCTCATGTTTTGTAATCGGCTCTAGGTTTCAGTGAGTGAGTGAGTGAGTGAGTGAGTGAGGTTTTACACCGCTTTTAGCAATATTCCAGCAATATCACGGCAGGGGACGCCACAAATGGGCATCGAACATTGTACCCATTTTGGGAAACGAACCTGGGTCTTCAGTGTGACGAGCGAACGCTTTAACCACGAGGCTACCCCACTGCCCTGACAGAACTTTCAGATAAAGCGTAGCTCTACCTGTCTCACTCTCAGTCATTGGGCAAATCACAACCCCTCAGGTGAAGAAAATAAATCACTTTCAATAAAAATAGATTTACACAAATAACCCTCAGGACCCAGTGAATGTCTTGTGTTGTCATGGTGGTGCAAGTATGAGGACCTAAGTTTCTTGAATAACAGTGTTATAGCTAATACGGTACACATGGTAACAGGGATAAATGAGTATAATTTAGCCAGTCAAGTCCATCCATACTAGTGGTTCATGTATTAGAGATAGATCTTGCCAGAAAACAATCATTCCTTCTCAGTTTTCACAAGTCGCAGACCAACAGACTATGGTCCATGTCTTACCCAGGGAAATAAGGTATATCTCACAATCTGAAAAGCAGAAAGCAACCAAGATAAAATGAATCTGTTTTACCTTCGATATTAACGAGAGTCAAATCATCTGAAGACACAGGAAAGTCAACAGATTTAGGACTGGCTGCTGGACTTCCTACAGGACTGTAAGCTGCTGAGGAGGTCACTATAAAGTAGGAAAACATGGGTCAGAAAAACAATACACACCTGGTATGCTCACCAAAGCCAAATCAGGAGGTGAAAGGGCAAAGTCTACTCTACATGCTCTAGGCCCGGGCCCACTCGTGTACGACGACTCAGTGGCCTTGGATTCACCAAGCTTACTTTCTGTTGGAGCTGAAAAGGATGCAATAGCACATCTTAGTGGCTACAGAGGATCAGTGAGTGAGTGAGTATGGTTTTACGCCGCTTTTAGCAATATTCCAGCAATATCACGGCGGGGGACACCAGAAATGGGCTTCACACATTGTACCCATGTCGGGAATCGAACCCGGGTCTTCGGCGTGACGAGCGAACGCTTTAACCACTAGGCTACCCGACCGCCCCTACAGAGGATCAGATACTACAAGGAGAGAGTTGGGTTTAACGCTGCTTTTAACAGTATTCCAGTTATATCATGATAAGCATGTCAGTTTGATGTTGAAGGAAAGCCTGATGTGATGTCTTACACATTTAGCAATTTGGTGAAACCCACAAGCATGAGTATGGTACTGACAAACCTAGAAACATAAAGGGGGCGAATCAGGATTCAAAAACATGATCATAGGTTTCCCATACAGGAGAAAAACTAGTTTAGAGTACTTATAATAAATGTTGCACAGTCCAGTGTTCATTTTTTGCAACAAAAATAGCACTGTCAGTCTGCATAGTCCATCACTCATAGAAATAATGGCTAGACAGGATGGCTATGATAAAGTCAGTGAGTGCTTTTCAGCTACTTTTAGCAGTATTCCAGCAATATCATGGCAGGGGGATACCGGAAAAGAGCTTCACACATTGTACATAAGTGGAGAATCAAACCTGGGTCTTCGGTGTGACGAGCGAACGCTTTTTCGACTGTCATAAAACTGGTTTTATATTTGAATCTGGATAAACCATAAATCTTAGATTGTTAATATTACATTTACAGTTATGACAAGAGCCCCCGGATTTTCATACTTAATTCCAAAACACTGCGGGAATTCCAGGTTAGAGCAAACCCGGTAAGCTATGCTGGTCGTAAGGGGTCTTGGATGTCTTAGACTTTATCTCGGTCCATTCACTGACAATGCAGCTCACTCTCCTTTCCAGAGTTCCATGCAGCCAGCATAGTACCTCTGCCACTGGCCAGCGCCATGTGATGATGCGTCACATCTTACAAAGTCCAGATATTGCATATGTTTTTCATCTGTTTCATTTTTGACAAGTCTATATATCTAGATAAACATATGTCACAGAATGGTTAACTTTCATTGAGAAAATATCCTAAATCGTGAAAAACTATTTCTATTTGCGTAGTTATCCTATTTTTACATTGGTTGTAGGGCATCACGTGCTGTCATCGAAGCCCTACGGAGAGCTAGCGATACAGTCACTTTGATATGTACATATGCATTGTCATGCAACTCGCAGTTGTAGTAGCGTATCTATATAATTATGCAAAACAATATGAAGAGTGCCCCCAAATACTTGCATTAGTCCATTCTATTCTGATTTCTGAAAAAGCGTGATTGTTTACAAACAAGAGAAAAGTCTGGTCACGTGATATGCAAATTAGCCTGTGGCAGTGGTGTTATGCTAAGCCAGCACTGCACTGGAGTGTGAATGCAACGACATACGACAGATACCTGATGCTGGTGATGCCGGTTGGCTATCATACGTGGCAACAGGGGCAACTGGGGACACAGGCTGTGGCTGTGGCGGTGACTGAGGCGGCGACTGTGGAGGTGACTGTGGAGATGGCAGTGGAAATGGCTGAATATGACTCGGAGGCGAGGCAGGGGGCAAAGGTGATGCTTTGGGGCTTCGTTGGCCTTTGTTGGACTGGCTTGAGGATGACTGGGAGTCGCTGAGCTCAGCCTCATTCAAGACATTGTCCAGATTGATGGGGATGCCATTTTCTGACAGGAACTCATCCAGATCCATGTATTCCAAATTGAAGTCTGTATTGTCATAGGTCTTCTCCCACAAACTAGGGCCAAGGAAGGCCGACCCAGAATCATACAGGCCATCTTTGCCAACTTTCTTGTCCTTCTCTGCAGCTGGAACAGTCAAAATATTTCAAAACTACACACGTGAAACTAATACGGGTATCAGTGGTTCTGGTGCTGACAAACCTAATAGTATCAACATCAGGGCGAATGTGGGATTCAAACTTAGGTTTCGGATACACTTCAGGGATGCAATGATTTACAATGCCATATTTAACTGGGCTGCCAGTGTTGAAACAAAAGCTAATAAATTCATTTAAAATTCATTCAATATCTGACCAACTTAACAACAATAAGCATTCCTAGAGGTGTAAGAATACAGTGGGGTCGCGATATGATACATATCCCGATACTATGAGTGTGATACAATTTGTATCCCGAAACAGTACTTTCATTTGGCTAGTCATGACAACTTAGGCCTAATAAAAATACACATGTGGTTTTGAATTAGTAGTAGGACCATACACTAATGCATTGCGATGTTCTACTTCTCGATAAAAGTATCGATCACAGCTGACACATAGTAAAAAGTATTGATTCTTACCCTAAATGTTTGCTTAAAAAACTTTTACACCAAATACTAGAAGTGAAAATAAGTGAAAATAAGTGAAAACGATGGATAAGAGCAAATATAAGTTTCAGTTCAGATGTCATTTCAAAATCAGTTCATATGTCGATAAAACTGATTTGTTAAGAGTTACATATGCACTTATTTACACCTTCTACACTGCTGGGTTGTGTTTTTTTCTTCAAATATACAGACTGTGATGTCAATTTAAGGTTCTAAAGCTCATTCAATCTTGTCCTAGACTCAACTCTCTGTGAAACAGTGTCCCGATATAATTTTAGTCCGACTCCGAGCAATAATTTTATATAATCTAATAATGAGGGCACGGGTTCTGTCAATACCTACATAATGTACGTCAGGGTCAATATATATGTCATTTGGAGTTGGCATAAATTCCTCAACACTCTACACCTAAATAACACAAGAATCAAAGGAAAGTGTGGGCCTACAGCTATATCGACTTAGAAGTAAGTTATTTAACCGCAATCAGGTCTGCGGCCATGCCATAGGCTTTCAGGTACATATGTACCTGCCCACATTTGACCTATATCACTGCGAAGTCACGTTGGAGTAAGTGTGAATGACAACAATCAAACAAAATCACTAAATCAATCCCGGATATGTATCATGAACAAACTACCCCTTGTTATTGTAGTGTACGACGTAGAAACATGAACCATTTTGAATGCTGAAACTGACATGCAACGAAGCGCAGGGGTCTATGCGGATATATCATTTATACTCCAGTGTGATATCACACTGGCGATGGTGGTAGATTTTCTAGATGTAAACCAGGCCGCTGGAGCGCCCAAACTGACAATAAATACTCACTGTTCGCTACCGGCGGGCTTTGAAGTTCTGGGTTCTCTAGAAGTGCCTTAAGAGTCAAACCACTATTTAACATTCCGTAATTTGCCATTTTTCGAGTTTTCTGTCTGTGAGCGCTAATCCTTCTCAACCCTCGATAGACGATGCGTTTTGTTACTACAGTGCGTTCAACCAATCAGAATGCAAATACGGGGATCATGTGACCTGGTGTACGATTGGCGAAACATGACGACAGCTCAAGGCTGCAAGCACGTTTTGGCCATGTGAGCCGGGGGTTATTTTTCTGACCCTAGAAGCGACCTTGGACAAGTGTGGCTTCAGGTGGTCAATAACCCGTGGAGTGAAGAGCTATCAGTTTGGGCAGCTTTGTTGTGCGGTTGAGACATTTCTCGTATACATATTGATAAGATCTGTCTCCTTTATGTGGATGACAGGTTCAATAATCATCATGTTTTCCAGATAATAATGACGAGGCCGACGGGAATGTACAATGTGGTTAAATTATTATTCGTGTGATGTAGATGCATAGGTAGTATATCTATATATCAGGAATATCTACTTGTCCATGTCAATCCTACATTTGACATTTTAAAATAAGGTGCCAGACTTGGTACGCTGGATGCCGAGACCTGTTTGTGAAATAATATTCCGGATGCCGCTGTGGAGGCCAATGTTTCCAATGTTGTTGTTTTTGTGAAATTTGTTTTTCCGTCATTTATTTTCCAAAGAATAACAAATCAATAAAATATTTAGCCCCAAGTTTATAAGCACGCAGGATCATGCCTTCTATGTGAAAATCCTATGCTAATATTTACTTATACCAGTGTCGCGCGCGCGCGCGCGCGTGTGTGTGTGTGTGTGTGTGTGTGTCAGGTGTACGAGAAAAGAGTTACGTACCATTCCCGCTGAAAGTGCTGAACTACGAATCTTTCACACCATATATCCTACATTGATTATTTCTTGGTATTTATTTGATAATTATTTTTTACACTTACTTAAATGAAAAAAAGATGGAAACAAGTCGCTCAGGTTGAGGTAGCTAAACTTGTATAGAGCGTTTGGACTAATATTGCTCTTAGGGATATTTTTTTAAATCCACTCCCCCCTCCCCCCTCCCAAATCAATATGGGGGGTCGAGGATTGATATGGGATAATATATAAAAAAAACTGACATAAACCTACTCTTTTATCACATACTATAACATCAAATTGTACAATGTATCTATTTGCAAGTAAATGCAATACTTGTTAACCTTCTTTGGAAGACATTGTCACAGGAAAAGACGAGCAGATGAGCAGACGACGCACTAAGGGACGTAACTCCAATTTCTGACCACCCGGGCTGATATCGATCGCCCATTGAAAATGCATTGACAAGCTGCATCAGCCCTGCAGGAGGTGTAATACGGGTTTGGTAAGTACACCCCCTGTGATATGACCGTCTCGGGGGGCACGGGTGGCCCAGTCGTCTAAGGCGCCGCGATTCGCTGTGCAGAGTTGCGTCCCTTGGGCATGCCAGAATCCTATGATTGTGGGTTCGAATCCCGGGTTCGCCCCGATTATGTTTCTAGGTTTGTCAGCACCATACCCGTGCTCGTGGGTTTCACCGAAGTGGTAAACGTCTGAGACCTGCATCACTTCGGGCTTTCCTCCCACATTAAGCTGACACGCCGTGATATAACTGGAATACTGTTAAAAGCGACGTAAAACCCAACTCACTCACTCACTATGACCGTTTCTGTGTTGGCTCTTTTGCACATGCAAAATGCCTCATAACATTGATAGGTATGTGATAATACATATTATTAAGAGGGGGCACGGGTGGCCCAGTCGTCTAAGGCGCCGAGATTCGCTGTGCAGAGTTGCGTCCCTTGGGCACGCCAGAAACCTGTGATTGTTGGTTCGAATCCCGGTTCGCTCCGATTATGTTTCTAGGTTTGTCAGCACCATACCCGTGCTCGTGGGTTTCACCGAAGTGGTAAACGTCCGAGACCTGCATCACTTCGGGCTTTCCTCCCACATTAAGCTGACACGCCGTGATATAACTGGAATACTGTTAACAGCGGCGTTAAACCCAACTCACTCACTATTAATAAGAATGGCAATTCAATTTATACATATTGATAAGATCTGTCTCCTTTATGTGGATGACAGGTTCAATAATCATCATGTTTTCCAGATAATAATGACGAGGCCGACGGGAATGTACAATGTGGTTAAATTATTATTCGTGTGATGTAGATGCATAGGTAGTATATCTATATATCAGGAATATCTACTTGTCCATGTCAATCCTGCATTTGACATTTTAAAATAAGGTGCCAGACTTGGTACGCTGGATGCCGAGACCTGTTTGTGAAATAATATTCCGGATGCCGCTGTGGAGGCCAATGTTTCCAATGTTGTTGTTTTTGTGAAATTTGTTTTTCCGTCATTTATTTTCCAAAGAATAACAAATCAATAAAATATTTAGCCCCAAGTTTATAAGCACGCAGGATCATGTCTTCTATGTGAAAATCCTATGCTAATTATTTACTTATACCAGTGTCGCGCGCGCGCGCGCGTGTGTGTGTGTGTGTGTGTGTGTGTGTGTCAGGTGTACGAGAAAAGAGTTACGTACCATTCCCGCTGAAAGTGCTGAACTACGAATCTTTCACACCATATATCCTACATTGATTATTTCTTGGTATTTATTTGATAATTATTTTTTACACTTACTTAAATGAAAAAAAGATGGAAACAAGTCGCTCAGGTTGAGGTAGCTAAACTTGTATAGAGCGTTTGGACTAATATTGCTCTTAGGGATATTTTTTTAAATCCACTCCCCCCTACCCCCTCCCAAATCAATATGGGGGGTCGAGGATTGATATGGGATAATATATAAAAAAACTGACATAAACCTACTCTTTTATCACATACTATAACATCAAATTGTACAATGTATCTATTTGCAAGTAAATGCAATACTTGTTAACCTTCTTTGGAAGACATTGTCACAGGAAAAGACGAGCAGATGAGCAGACGACGCACTAAGGGACGTAACTCCAATTTCTGACCACCCGGGCTGATATCGATCGCCCATTGAAAATGCATTGACAAGCTGCATCAGCCCTGCAGGAGGTGTAATACGGGTTTGGTTAGTACACCCCCTGTGATATGACCGTCTCGGGGGGCACGGGTGGCCCAGTCGTCTAAGGCGCCGCGATTCGTTGTGCAGAGTTGCGTCCCTTGGGCATGCCAGAATCCTATGATTGTGGGTTCGAATCCCGGGTTCGCCCCGATTATGTTTCTAGGTTTGTCAGCACCATACCCGTGCTCGTGGGTTTCACCGAAGTGGTAAACGTCTGAGACCTGCATCACTTCGGGCTTTCCTCCCACATTAAGCTGACACGCCGTGATATAACTGGAATACTGTTAAAAGCGACGTAAAACCCAACTCACTCACTCACTATGACCGTTTCTGTGTTGGCTCTTTTGCACATGCAAAATGCCTCATAACATCGATAGGTATGTGATAATACATATTATTAAGAGGGGGCACGGGTGGCCCAGTCGTCTAAGGCGCCGAGATTCGCTGTGCAGAGTTGCGTCCCTTGGGCACGCCAGAAACCTGTGATTGTTGGTTCGAATCCCGGTTCGCTCCGATTATGTTTCTAGGTTTGTCAGCACCATACCCGTGCTCGTGGGTTTCACCGAAGTGGTAAACGTCCGAGACCTGCATCACTTCGGGCATTCCTCCCACATTAAGCTGACACGCCGTGATATAACTGGAATACTGTTAACAGCGGCGTTGAACCCAACTCACTCACTATTAATAAGAATGGCAATTCAGTATTAGTATTTCGGTTGCCTGGTAACAACTGAACTGTCAATCACTTCGAACGTTTTATGATCACATTCAAATCCGTGAAATTTACAGGATTCTTTTTTTTTCTTCTTCTAAAAGTAACGATTATTCTTTGCGAAAAACACACTTGAAGTTGAATAATGATATTCAAGTATATTATGTTACAAAACATGACATATACGTAGGATTATGCCAGGAAGGCATCACGCGTATGAATCGATATTCTGACAACGTCGATTATCCAGCTGGTGTATCATATTTCCATTCTGTATAATCACAATAGAATGGCGATATAACACACTGGATAATCGAGGTTGGTATCCTGATGGCGAGAGATATAACGTTTATGTTCATGTTATTAGTTTACGGATTTCTGTTTGTGAAAAATACTGGTCAGGTAGATAGGTAAAATACAATTAAAACGATTTCAGATTATTTGTTATGTGTTTGTTTCAAAAAGCTTATTAGCCTGTCATACAAATATATCAATAAAGACCATGTAAGTCTACAATACATGTAGTTGGCAAGTCTAGATTGGTTCAGTTTCATAAAATGAACAGTCTCTAGGCTCCTTTACATTTATATCGTATTAGGATAATTCAACAACTGTTTTTCTGTAAAATATTTCATTTCAGAAATATTGTGTTTAATCATTGGGCAATACTCTAGTCTTACTCTCCAAATTAACTCACACGTCGTGTTTCTACCGCGCTTAATATATCCTCATTTAGAAGAGCAAACAACCCATCTTTGTAGTTTCCATTATTGCACGGCGTTAACTTTACCTTTGTCTCGCATGTGTATGATGACATGCATACGTACGAAATACATAAATAATTTTGAAAAGGCGGCGAGACTAGCCTGCAGCATATCGCTCTGCGAGAAACTTTGGACCAGTTTCCGTGTTGGGAGGTATTAGCACTTTTGGACATCGTAAATAATTGACGTGTCAGGCTACAGGAGTAAACGTGTTAGCATTAGGGAGGTAACTCTCATGGAGACCACTCAAAACGTTGTGGGTTTCAATTTTAACAATATCTGCATGTTTCCACTTAATTCGTCCAGTATGTAATACTATTTCGACAAGGTAACTATTACTTTGAAAAGAAGTTTATTTATGAAATATGGTTCTGTCAACTTAATACCCCTTGTTCCTAAAACAATAGCAAATGTTTCAGGACGCCATTGTTGTAAAAACATATAACTGGTTTTGTTTTCATAATATGTTTGTTTTCTACTTTTCAACTACATAAATATTTAAACTGAAATGTGAAATATTCTCATTCCTGATTCAGAAGGTACCACATGCATATATAATTTGTTTTACCTTCTGGGT